CTGTACACAAACATCTACAGAGAGGTCTGGACTTGGGAAGGTGAAGAAGTTTTTGTCATGCACACTTGCTTACTCATGGACTCAAGTATTACAGAACAGACGAAGGTAATAATGGAGAGGGATCAAACCTGTTAACGTTGACAGTAATGATACTCTTGACAGGTGTGCTCTTTGGACCAGGAGCAGGGTGAAAGACTGGCTCTTGATTGGCTGGTTTGGACCGCCGAATGACATATGGATCAGCAGAATGTGAGGGATAAGTATCAAACGTCCCTGCTTTCATTCCTCCAATCTAACACAAGGAACAGTCACATAAACACACAGAGAAACCCTGTGAAATATAAACCAGACAAATAGCATCATATCAGACATAGTTCCCTCTACTGCTGATGCAGTCGGGCGTAGAGAAAGAGCCACCTGTTTGCTGGGGGATGAAGGCTTGAAGGGAACTGGAGAGCTTTTCTGTGCAGGTGGGTGGGGTTTATGTGCAGGCGGGAGAGGCTTGTCACTGCGGTATGGATTGACTTGAAAATAATCTCTCGGGTGAAGGTTAAGCTTGAACGGTCCATCTCTGAGCTTGGAGCGATGGATGGCTGACTCCTTCTGCATCACACACACATATGCACACATTTCAATTTGGATAATTAATTTAAAATTATAAGTATTTATGTAACACAATGTAGTAAGTTCTAAGTTTTAAACTTAAAGCTGCATTTAATGATTTTTTTGCCCACATAGCACAACAAGCTATGAACACAAACATAAACCCCATCAGCCACTTATGTAAGGAAGTTGTGTTTTTGTTGAGTGACCTCTAAAGATCACGTGAGACAGCATCGGTTGCCGAAGAGAGCAGATACTCTCTGAAAGATTTATTGCAACACAGACACACTATCACCTAATTAGGTTAATTAGGTTTAGGTGAAACTGTAAGTGTGGAGTCTATCCCAGCTGACTCAGGGTGAAGGCAGGTTCACCTGGACAGGTAACCAGTCTATCACAGGGCTACACAGAGAGACAGACAACCAAGCAAAATTACACAAAATTATTGACAGAGTTAACTTGCTTACATCTAGATACATGTTTCATGGTTTTATGGTGAAAAATAAATCAAGAGCACTGATACTTAACTTGTCACTTTCATAATGCAAGTTGTTGACATTATCTACATCTTTTTTTTTTTTTGCAAATGATCAGGAAAGCAGCTGATTTATGCTTTGTGTGTTTGGAACCTAATGTATAAACATGAAGTAAGATACATCTTTTCACTCCCTAATGTAATATACAGTATATATTTCACTTCTAGTCTGGGTTGTTTTCATGGCCAAAACCTAAGATCACATCAAGCTGTGAGTGTTACCTTCAGTACTTCTGTGGCTCTGTCGTATGGATCTGATGCATACAGCTCCATTTGGGACAGGGTTACGTTGGGATAGCTGCAGGAGATAACACGTTGGTTACTGCAACAAATAACTCACCGTGTCACTTTGCATTACTGCTATGATTTCCATAGTATCTTTTAAAAAAGGAGCAAATACTAGAGCAGCGTTGTCAACCAAATAGGTAAATTACATCATGTGCATTGTAACTGCTGCCTGACACTCCTTGTTTTCAGTGGGATTGTGGCACAGTTCACATTTCATCACACATTCGTCTTGCCAGAAAAAACTTCTGATTTATGTTGACTAAGTTTCTGTAAAAAAAACCCAAACCTGTCCCCAAACTGCCTCAGCTGTCCCAAGTTTTGTGAAATGTTCTCTTTAACTGTGTTTATTCCAAATGAAAAACAAGATGAAAACATGCTTGCTGAGCAGTCGTGAACCACTTGTGCTTGCCATAAACCTGTAACCACTGCCTTTCTTCGGCGGTGACGTGGTGATGTTGCGTCCCGGTAAGCGATGACCTTTCTGGGTGACTGACAATGGACTCATGGCTTCAATGGGTCCTGACAGAGTCCCATAGTAACTCCCTGAACCACAGCTGGAGGCAGACAGAGATCAGCAAACAGTGAAAAACATCAGTAAATATAACAACGAAATAAATGTAAGTGTATTTGTGCCCACGTGCAGACATTGCCTTTTAGTTCAAAAGCTTTGTAGAATAAACAAAAGCACATATTTTAACTGAATCCCTACTTTAAGCTGTAATTTCAAACATTTGTTGTTCTAAAGGTATGATGTTAGTTTGACAACAGTATTTTAGGTCTTGCAAGGAGAGAAATTCATTGTTAGATGGGAGCAATGAGCATTAGGATCCTTTCACACTAAGCTTTTGAAATTTTTGTCTAAGTTCATTTGTGTGTGTTGTCTCACGGCGTCTTGACCCCGTTACAGGGCAGGAAAGCCTTGCTCAGGTTCTTCCTGGCCTGCTGGATGCGTTGCTGTCGGGCTATTCTCAACGGGTCACTTAGCGCCTCTCGTTCAAAAATCCGTTTGAAGGACTTGTCGAAAAAGCCGCTCTGCAGGGCACATCGTTGTGCTGCGACACCCGCCTGCATCTGCCGGCTGCGATACGCTGATTCATTGAATGGGCCTGAATTCACAACAAAGACATGACATGTTTACATGCACCCAGCAATGTTTCTGACAATGATCCATAGAGAGAAAAACATCTCTGCTATCAAATAATCAAAAAGTCAGTACAGACACGTCACAAAAACCACACCTACATTGCCATGTGTAGGTTGATGTGTTTTATATACTGCAAATGTTTTATACAAATCAGTTGATGCAGATCTGTTCGGTCCTGGAAGCTGTAAGTTGAATTTGCCTTAGATCAGACTTGCATATCACTCTGTTACACACTGTTGCCCATAAAGTTGGAATAATTTTAGTTTTCAGACACATTCCTCTTTTTATTTCTATCACACACATCAGTAGTCTTTTTTGACCAGGTGCAATGATTACATAGAGTCCCAGTTACCAGGTGAAACCATTTCTTACTTTGGGATCTAACTGAAGAGTGGGACGTCCTGCCCATTGACACCATCAACAAGCTGGTGGACAGTATGCCACCATGTCTTAACGCATTGATGCGTGTCAGGGGTGGCCAGACTCAATATTACTGACTGAGAGACATTTGAAAGAGTAGCGTTGGACATTCTAATGCATGAAATCCCCTCGAATATGTGTTTCCTGGTAAATTGACCAAAGTTGAAAAATTGAAACAAAACCCTTCATCCTATTGTTCAATACCTCCAATTTTGTTTAAGCCTGAATACTCAGTTTGCAAAAGTTAACTGTGGTTTCATATTTACACATGTAACGTATGTGTATTTTATGTATATTGTGATATCAATAAAGTTTTGAGAAGATATACACTTTATCAAAAATGAATCACATTGTTACAATCATTTCATGAGAAGAGGTAGAAAAATATTTTATTCCAACTTTATGGGTAACAGTGTAACTACACGGTCCTTATCAAAGGGGCTCAGGTCTTCACACTTGCTCATTTCATCTACATGCAACTGGTTCACTGTGAGAACTAAATCTAAGCTTACAGTTTAATACGGTTCAAACTATAACATGTGGCATTGTTCTGGAATCATCATGATGTTTGACTCATACATCAAATTTCTTGGAATCATATTTTTGTGTTTAATTAGATCTGTGTGTTAATTTTTGCTTTTCAACATTTCAAACCTGGAATTTTTTTGTATTCTGAAAACTGGTCTCCATAACATTGGTTATTGGTAACATAAAGTTTAGAACTGATCAAGAACACATCAACCCCCGTTTTCAACTACAATAAAGCTACAAGCCGATATCTGCCTTAAAAAGGGCCGTTATTGTGAAGTAATCAGACAGGTATGCATATAAATAAATAGCTTGCTTACTGCTAACGGGTGGAGTGTACTTGTCTCCAACAGAGATGTAGCTCATCTCCTTAAAGACACCCAGACGCTCCATGTCACTCTTCCCGTCACCTGATGGCATCTCTGGAAACAAGCACAGATCTGTGTAAGAGCTTTAGAACAGTGAGCGTACCTTAAAGATGAGGTTAGACTGTTTTAAGTAGATGACTGTAGGTCTCACCATACCTGTGGTTGTTTAGAAGAGTCTTCCACTATCTGTCTATCTATCTATGTGGCTGTAACATACACAGAACTCAGCACTCTGTGTCTGTGTATACAGGATGGTCACCGTGGAGATGGGGACCGTGTAAAGCTGAAAAACAACATGTGGAAGTGAAGCAGGGTTGCCTTCAAAATGAAAGCATAAGATTTTGAATAAGAATTGTGTACCTCTAAAAACTATGTGCACAAACACTGACGACAGAAAACATTCGACAGGAAATTTTGTAATATAATGCATGCAATGAATTCTTTTAGAGCAAAATGTTCTACATGTACCAATACAATCAAAACTCTTTAACATTGTGTTTCTATGCATTCTGTGTAGTTGTGTACAGATGCTGACCCATTTAAAAAAAAAAAAAAAAAGCGTTTCTTTCATTGTTCCATGTGGGTGGAAGCAAACGCAATGAAGGATAACTTCAGCATGTGTGACTAAGATAAGTGGCTGGTTTTCAGACAGCACACATGCAAAGCAGAAGACTGTCTGAGGGAACGAAGAAGCAAGAAGATGACTTGCAGCGCTGAAGTTTGTTGGCTGGTCGAGTAATGTAGTATTTCCCCAACATTTTACAACCACCGTCTGGAGCCTAAAAATGTATTTGGAGTTGGAGCTGAAATTCTATTCTAATATTTGAAAAAAACTATGCTGACAAAATAGTAGTAATCTATTTTTTAAGAGGCTTAATGTCTGGCCACACTCCAACCCTGTAGGTGGCGGTAGTGCAGTAATGACCACCTTATGGCTGGTTTCCACCCAACACGAAGAAGACAAACCACATCATGCACTCCAAATAATGAACAAACATCCGACTGGAGCATGTCAGTGCTCTGACAAAAGAGAAACAGTTCAGCATATGCTGCTAGAATGTCAGCAAATATGAAGATGACAGGGAAAAAAACTCAAAGCAAAGTGGCAAAAAATCAAGCTGGAGCTAACAGAACCTTCCTGGGGGAACAGAAAAAGAAATATTAAGAGAGCTAATTGGGTTTGTTAAAAACACAGGACTTCTAATAAGGATTTAGTTGTATTTTTACATATATAATTCACTTATTTATTCCGTATTGCTAAGCTTGCTCCACACTCCAGTCCGGTAGGTGGCGGTAATGCGCCTAAACGCTGGCTGCCAACCGCTAAACCAATCAAAAGAAGAAGAAGACAAACACAGTGCCGTCACTTTCCAACATGGATGTTTTTGCGTGGCGATGTTAACAGAAGAGAGACACAGTGGGAGAGAAAGGGGTATCTGTTCTACTTTGAATTTATGGGTTGTTTTTTTCCTGTGTCACTGTTACGGATGACTGATGACGCAGCGCCTGTAAGGTTAGCAGCGAGCTAACGCGGCTGTCTCTGATGCCAACTTGTGCTTGTTAGATGTTTGTTAGGCCGCTGCTGTGGTCATTAGCCACCTGCTAGATGAGCCTGCTGGCTGTTTGTTGTAGCGAAAAACGCCACGCTACGGGTAAGAGCCATGATTTTGGCATTTTGGTTATCTATAGGGCTGCAGGATGGCTCGGTGGTTTGCAGCTGTCAGCTCCCCGGTGAGGACACCCGGGATCTTTCTGCGTGTTTCCCCCCGTGCAGCGTGGGTTGGGTTCCTCCCACACAGTCCAAAAACATGTTGAGGTTAATTGGTGATTCTGCATTGCAGTAGGTGTGAATGTGAGTGTGCTTGGTTGTCTGTCTCTAAGTGTGGCCCTGTGATAGACTGGTTACCTGTCCAGGTGAACCTGCCTACTGAGGGTTAAGGTGTATAGATGATGGATGGTTGTCTACACTAAACATCAGTATGGTAATTTTAAAGCATCAAAGAAATGTAATCTTGGTTTACGTTTGTCAGTCCTTGAAGGGGGATCCCTCCACACTTGGTTTCCTTGAGGTCCCCCTGACCTCGATGAGCCACCCGTTGCATTTGTTGTATAACTCAGGAGTTGGGTTTGCGTCTTTGGTCTTAAGGACATGCAGTATATACATCTGAAAGCTGTGTTGTGTGAATGTCATTTGCCCCTGTGGCCTCCTTAATAAACACACGATTCAGTCGACTGCTGATGAACACAGCAGTCTATATTACTGTTACACACAGCTTGCAAGGATATCGACAAATGCTTTGCTGTACTTATTAAAATCAGCTCAGTATGCTGGCAAGTGATGAATTTCTGCAGGATTGTCTTTGAGTACCACTCACTACCAACAAATTGCAGTTTAGAAAACTCAAACTAAGTTGGAGGTATTATAGAAACAGCATCTGTAAAGTGTCTTTCTCAGTATCTGTTTTGGTCATGGTTGTTGTGAGATTCTGTGTAGTTTCTTGTGGTTCTGTTGTTTTTTTGGTGTATAATAAAACAGTCATAAAATTGCCAATAGCTTGATCAGCATATGTGTGTTTGCGTTGATCTGAGCAGTTTTCAAGAAAAACAAAAGTTCCACAAAATATATTCTGAGCACGTCCTCAGGAAGGATCCTGAATCCAAATTAAAATAAAGTTCTAGTTCAAGACTCAGGAATTTCTGGTGTTATTCTGTTATTCTGGCATATTTATGTGATTTCTGCATCGCCAACTAAATACACGTCTGGTTACCATGGCAACGCAATATTTACAGTGTGTGATATTGTAACTACACGGCTTCATTCAGTGATATTAGTAACACACAACTCAACATGTTTGCAGATAAAACACATTCCCTCAGCTGAGAATCTGTGTCGCTCATATATAATCGTCAGGAAACAATCTGGTTAAGGGCAGATGCTTCTTCCAGCCGATTTCAATCCAAAACTCTGCACATAACCTGCTCCTGACCAGGTTAGCGCCACAAGATAAGTTACCATGGAGATCTAGCAGGTAAAATGAGCGCCACCTTCAGGACACTGAAAACTCTGACTTTAGGCTCAACATACCTGCTAACCCACTGATCTTGCTCCGTCGTGCAGCCCTCTGGTTATCAAATCAAGTTTATTGTCATTTTGCTGGACACACACAGTAGTACAGGCAAGATGAGAGAGCGTTTCTTCAGGATCCAATAACTTAAAGCAGTTTAAATAAAGAAGTGTTTGCATGTCTGGATCAGCAGTTCAGCATTCTGACAGCTTCTTTGAGGTTCTTCCTTTAATGCTCCGGAAACGTTTGCCTGATGGCAGCAGTTCAAACAGTTTATGGGGAGGGTGTGCTCCCGTAGATCAGAAACAGCTTTTGACGTTACGTTTTGACACAACACCGATCTGTAAACAGTGGTTTCCTGTATTTGGCTGTTGCTTGTGACATGTAGCAGTCATAAGACAGAGTTGTGAGCATGTTTATCCTATTTTGCGATGGTAAATTAAAAAAAAAAAAAAAAACTATTAGTAATCATAAAATGCCAAATATTGGCCTCAATGATCTGTCAGGCTGATAATTGGTTGATCCATAGTACCTATTGTTGCTGTTACTGTAAGTCTCTGAACTTTGTCTTCTTTTGGTTTTAGAGCTGAAACGTGTTGATGGGAAGAAAAGCCTTTGGAGGACATGAACCTTTCCCTGTGATCTAGGGAAATGGATTCTCCAGAAGAGGTGAGCTCAAAAATAGAACAACTAGTACAGAGCACAGCAGTCAGACTGTTTGAAATAAAACAATTAGTCACCTACTGTTGGTACAGTACGATGTGTGGTAACTTTAAAACAACCATGTATTGGTGTCTTATTTCCTTTTCTGACTGAAGCTTTCCTGAAAGTTATCTCCCAAATTGGATTACAGCATTTTCATTTTTCTTAAACAGCACATAGATGTGTGGAACATTTGAATGTGATTGTGGAATTATAATTTAATTTGAAGTTTACACTATCTTTTTAATAGTCTACTGTATTCTCCCACAGTTATTTCTAAAAGCAGAAACATGAAATCATCTCATACAAAGAGACTCAGGAGATCCAACAAATGTCTGGATGAGATGTCTGTGATTCAGATGAGTCAAACAAATACATTTTGCATTTCATTTGGAAATCAGGGCCTTAGGGTCCGGAACAAGAGTGGAGAAACGCAGGATCCAAGGTGTAAAGTCCATTGTGAAGTTTCTGCAGTCTGTGATGATTTAGGGTATCATGTCATCTGCTGGTGTTGATCCAACTCAGCCATCCACCAAAACTAAAAATAAAACTACCAACCTGTGGTTTGTTAGCCATTATATTGTGTGTTTGATTGGCCAGCCAGTCCACCTGACCTGAGCCACTGCACCACCATTAAGATGAGAAACACTCAACCCAAAAATAGAGATGTGCTGAAGGCGGCTATTAGAGAAGCCTGGGCTTATATAACACTTCAACAGGCTGATTGTCTTCGTGTCATGCTGCATTGATGCTGTAATCCATGGTAAAGGAGCCCTGACCAAGTACTGCACATATAACTCAATGTCTTTTCCAGAAGTTGGACATTTCTGTGTTGTACATCCTTATTTTCCCCCCATTGATTACAGGAAAATGTTCCAATAAGTGGAGATACTTGGGTCTATATAATGATTTCATGGTTTAAAAGGGATATACCGCCCACACAGTTCTGTCTATACTGGTGCTGTTAAAATTAAGTTTGACTCTTTAATGTCGTACCGATCAGTTTAACCGAAATTGAAAGTGCTGAAAAAGAATGAAGAACAACAAACGTCTGCATTCTGAACTGTATCTGACCATCCACAGTATATTGTTCATAATGCAAGAGTCTTACATGTGAAGTACAGTTTATCTAGCTACTAATGGCTTGCACTATGGATTCAGGTTCTCCACTCTGAACTTTTCTCTGTTTTTTTTAGTTGAAACCGACAGACCCGGACAGAAGCAGACCTCATCAGTGTCAGGAGTGTGGGAAATCTTTCAGTCGGATCTGTAGCCTAAGAAGACATGAAGTGACTCACGCTACGGCGAAACTGTACCACTGTGAACAATGTGGCAGCAGTTTCAGCCAACTAAATGCGTACAAGCTGCACCTGTACACTCATCCTGAAGAAACTCTGTACTGCTGTGACCAGTGTGGAAAGGACTTCAGTGACCAGAGTTCGTACAGGAAACACCTTCGTGACCACACCGGGCCATACAAGTGTGAACAATGTGAGAAGAGCTTCAGTTACTTCAGTATTTACAAGATACACATGCGCGTGCACACTAAAGAAAAGCCATACCTGTGTGACCAGTGTCCCAAAAGCTTTAGTTTTTTAAGCTCATACAAGCGACACCAACTTAGTCACAGTGGAGAGAAACCGTACCAGTGTGACTTTTGTGGAAAGAGTTTTACCCAGTCAGGACATTTCAGTCTGCATTTGCGGAACCACACTGGCGAGAAACCATATGAATGTGACCAATGTGAAAAGAGCTTTAGTGATCTAAGTAGTTACAAAATACATCTGCGTGTCCACACAGGAGAGAAACCATACTGCTGTGACCAATGTGGCAGGAGTTTTTCTCAGTTAGGCAATTATAAATCACACATGCGTATCCACACAGGAGAAAAGCCTTTCCAGTGTGAACTGTGCAAGAAAAGTTTCTCTATTTCAAAGACTTATAAACAGCATGTGCGTACCCACACTGGAGAGAAACCACACAAGTGCAAAGAATGTGGGAAAGGGTTTGGTCGCCTGAGCAACTACATGCGCCACCTTCGTATCCATACTGGAGAGCAACCATTCAGCTGTGATCAGTGTGGGAAATGTTTCAATAGCTCCTACAGCTACAGTCGTCACCTGCGGGTTCACACTGGAGAGAAACCGTACTGGTGTTCACTGTGTAAGAGATTGTTCACTCGATCACAGTCCTTGAAGAAGCATCGCTGCATTGAAACAGATGAAGAGACGTTGACTGTGGTTAACAAAGACATTCAGGTGAGGTGCCTGCCAACAACAGACAGCGACCAGCAACCAACAGAATAAACTAAGAACGGGACATGTAGGCAGTTATATAGTTTTAAACACAGGAAAGACCACATCAGGTTTTGGATAGACGAGTTGTCATTGTAGGATTATTTCCCTGTTGGATTTGGTAGAATCTCAGCACCAAACTCATTTGTTTAAAATGTTCTGAGGCTGTATCTGTTGGTCATATCAAGAATGGCATTGTGACAGATGGCTGGCTGCACACCACTGGGAACCGGTATTGTCATTTCAGGTCTTCTGAATCAGTGCATTGAAATACTTGGGTTTAATAACGGCAGTGAGGGGAAAAAAATGCTCATGACATGCTCATATAAAGTCATCAGCCAGAAATGTGTGCCTCTCAGACAGAAACTAGTGTCACTGATCCTGCTCATCCTGGCCTTTATTTTGTATCTAAGATAAGACTCTTGAATAAATTCTTGGTTGGTTATTCTAAGTTGTAGAGAACATTCATTTTAACCATACATGGGCATGCAAGTCATTTCTGTGCAGGTTTTAACAGTCCCCGCCATAAGTACCTCACAGTATTAAAGTAATTCATTTGAAAAATCAAAGCAAAAAAACAAATAACAGCATGTGTCAGCCCTTACTGTGGCCTGTGGTTAATCTATTTTCTTATGCATTTCTGTTCTTTTGTCTACTGCTTGTGTGATTCGTTAATCATGTTTAATAGTTATTCGTTTGTAGGCACTTATTTATAACAGGTTGTTATAATGTACAGCTCACAACTGGAAACCTTTGAGCCAGCGCATGGATTACTACAGAACAGAGCACTCCAGGAAAATATATCAGGACACAACACAGCTCGTTTTACTTCCTCAGATACTTTTAAATCTGAAATTTTTCATTTGCTTTCCAGAGTCACAGCTAGCCAGATGTCTGCCAAAGCATCTGTATAATATTTTTATGTTTGTACAAAGTGGTCATTTTCATTCCAGTTATACTAACCATTAATATTGTGCAATATAACCAGAACTGTAGTATATTGTGTATGATACTAATATGTTGTATTCGTTGTGATTTAATACATAAACGTAAAAAATAAACAAATGCTGATCTAACATATTGATGTTGGTATCTGGTAAGTCTGAACAAAAGGTTTGAATGTGTAAATGTCTGAATACCGTCACAAAGACGACCCTAATAAACGGTTTAAACCAGAGATCTCCACCTCTGGTCCTCGTGAGCTGCTGTCCTGCAGACGTTTCCGTACTGCAACACACCTGACCCGTGTTACTCACACATTAAATATACGTCCAGCTACAAATGGGAAGTTTGTCCTTCACAAAAATCTGATCAGAATTTATATATTTTTTAAAAAAAGACAGCTGTTCATTACACCAAGAAAAAAAAGCCCAACATTGTACTACTAGATTGATAGTTGGTGGCGGCAGGAAGCGTCTTTCTAGCCCACGAGATGGCCGTGCGCTCATCAGTGGACACGACACTGGATACTGTCGAGAAGTGTGACTTGTTTGGCCACGACAGTTGGAAACCGAATTCTTTTTTTAAAGTATATTTTTTGGGCTTTTGCTTTTATTTAGAGCAGTAGAGATAGACAGGAAAGGGGGGGAGAAGAATGGGTAAAGACCTGCAGCAAAGGGTCGTGAGCGGGAGTCGAACCCACGACCGCTGTGTGGAGAAACTATAGCACCTGTTCATGGGTCGCCCGCTCAGCTCGGTGGAGGTGGATCACTGTCCTGCAGAGTCTCTGCACAGGACCCGTAGTGTTCTGGTTCACCTGGAAATGACAAGATAAACAGAACTATGGTTTATCTTTGTAAGAGCGGAACGATGCGTGTTTTGTAACAGGACCACAGCGGTTTTGCGCAACACTGAGGTGAGTTCATTCCTCTTCTCCACAAACTGTATTTTGTGTGTTATACTCGTATGCATACGATTTCAAATGCCTGCTTTAGTTGTACTTGTTGATTTTTTAATATATGTTGTTAAAAAGTTTTATTATCACGTTTCAAGGGTTTCATTTGAGGCACCTTTCTGTCCACGCGGTGCCATGTGCCATTACGCATAGATTAGGTGAACTAATCTGGATTACAGTCAGCACCGCCTGGCGATAACTGCCGCACTGTCTGTCATGTCCAACAGTATGTGTCTGCAGAGCCGGAGGCAGCATGTTGCACAGTCAGTCTTAACATGAGGCACAGGAGAGGAGAAGAAAATCCAACCTGAAGCACAATTGAAGGTATTTTACGCACGTATTCTATATATTTTTTTACTTAATTATGTAAGTATTTTTTTTAGGAAAATGTACTTGTTTCAATATATGCAATACAAATTAAGTAATGTGCGAGCATTAGTCATATATTTTAAATGTAAATTCTATCAATTTGTAAAGTAACTGTAGCTGTCAACCAGTTGCACTGTAAAAACTAGAATATTTCAATCTGAAAGCTAAACTATTAACTCTATCGAAGATGTTTAATTGTAGTTTATTTAAATGTTGGTGGCTACAGGCGGGAATTCTAATATGCACCCAAATCCCAGTGTCATCTCAATGCTGTCATTGTTTCCTTGCAGCTGTTTCATTAACTGCTCATTGTTCAGCAGCTTTTCTATATTGTCACCACAATCTGGACAGGAATACAATATCCATTTAGGAGATTACCAGCATTAGCAGAATAAGTTACATTACTTCCATCAAACGGGACACTCATTGCTAGAGTTTCAGCACCACATGTTTTAACACCCTGTTGAGTTTTAAGTGGACACAGAACTCACCAAGTCTGTAGGATGTTTGAAGCTTCATGGTTTTATCCCTTATAGGTGTAAAATGGCACTTTATACGTCTTCTTAATATTTCTATGAAGATTTTTTAAGAAAATAGTAACATGACATAGCAGAAAAAGCTCCGTATTCACCAGACTTTATGACAGCGTCCTGTTGCATAGGTGTGGAGCAACATGTTGTAACATATTGAACTGTTTGAGCTACAGCAAGAAAATGAAGTGAATGTTCCCCTTACACGTGTTTTTATGTTGTGTTTCAGAGAAGGACACCTGTGAATCCCCCTGGATGAGCTAAAGGGAACTATTGGAACCAAATGTGCTGAAAGACAAATTACAGCAACAGAAAACCAAAGAGAGCAAGAACAACAAACTTTTCCCAGGAGGAAGCTTACAGCAGTAGTTCAGTTTGACCTTTGGGTGACCTGGAGAGACGAGGTGAACGATGCAGGGCTGCGAGGTCGGTACCAGGATGCGCTACTGGCTGACTCTGGCCTCGGGGATGCTGGAGTGCCTGTGCTTCGCCGGCGTGGTGTTTGGTTACGCCTCTCTGGTGTTTGTGCTGAAGGAAGACGGATACTTCGGCGAGCTGTGCATCAACCACCCAAATGGCAACAGCAGCACCGCGAGCGACACAGGTGAGCATCTCTGGGGTTCAGGTTTGAGAGGTGGTCAGTTTCCACCTGCAGGAAAAAACTCAGATGGACCCCACGGCTCATTTTTTGAAACAGCAGCAAGGAATGATGGTACCATCTGATTAATGAAAAGAGAAAGAATATGCAATCGCTGTAAAATACAAAAAAAAACAGCCAAACAGTGCAAATTAATTAAAGGTGCAATGATTTTTTTTTTTGGCTACATGCAGGCTGAAAAACACCAAAACTCACACCCTGGAGGTACTGTACCTATCTACTATGTCAGGTGGCTGATGTTCACTGTACACACAGCAGAAATAGAGCAATAATATAACAACAATAAAATAACTTTATTTATACAGCGAGCCTTTCAAAAACAAAGTTACAACGTGCTTTACAGTAAAAGAAAGGAAATACAGTATGATCAGATAAACTGAACTGCTTCAACAAATACAATCAGTAAGTGATAAGCCATGCAGTAAAAGTGAGTCTTAAGAAAGGATTATAAAGAGGATTTTTAGTTTGTCTGCCTGGAATCTCCAGATTTCCACAGCTGAGGGGTCCAAACATCAAAGGTCTGGTCAGCTTTAGGAACAAGTGGAGACTTTGAATCTGTCAGCGAGGTTGTGCTGGAGGATCCAAGGCAGCGACAAAATACTTTAAAATCAACTCACCAGTGAAGGGCAGCTAGGATTGGGGTAATAGGGTCACTCTTCTTGGTACTTGATAAACACCTAGTTGCAGTGTTTGGATGGGATCCTTATCCCGTAACATCCCTCTGTTTGTGTTTGTCTTTCTTACAGACTGTAGTGGTCAGGATGAGCAGTTCTCTCTGGTCTTCACCATCGCCTCGTTCCTCAACAACTTCCTGAATCTTGTCAATGGCTTCCTGTTTGATCGCTTTGGCACGCTGGTGACGAGGCTGCTGGGAATGTGAGTTATTTTTCTTTCTATAACCTCAAAAACAAACAAACAACAACAAAAAAAAAACTCTCTGCAGTGTAAAAGCTGTTTTTCTTTTTCTTTTTCTTGCAGATAACAACTAAAACCCACAGAAAAAAAACTAATAACATATATACTAACCCTACAAAAACAGGGCAAAGCTTAATGTCCACATCAAAAATCTGTATTTTTGGTATTTTTTTTATGTTTGACCATAAAATTACACAATTATTACTGTATTTAAATTATCAAAACATATTATTTTAAAGATAATTGCCACTATTTAAGAGAAAAAAATATGTGTATTCAAGACAAAAAAGTTTGTATTTATTATATATAGACTAATATATAACATTATATTGTATATTATATATATTTTTATTATGTATGTTATATATACACTTCACAGATTGTTGTACACATTGACTATATATATTTAAAAAAAGAAAATCAGTTCATCATGTCCACATCACAATTTGGTATTTTTAAAACCAGCAGTTTGTTCTTGTACAGTGTGTAATCATAAAACTATTTTCATTATTTTGCTGTAATCTTCACTATTAATACATTGTTTAAGCATTCAGCTGTTTCCTAATGTGTTTTTTTCAGGATGTTTTCTTTTTGTTTCCCTACACTTCAGGCTCCACTAGAAGACCCAAAATGATCTGATTTTTCACGTATTAATTAACTATCCAGTGTTGAGTTAATCAGCAAACGCATCCCAGTCGTGACTTTAGTCAGACCACAGAACAGTGAGACAAAAGCTTAAGAGCAACAAAACACTACTTTGTTCCCCAACTGGTTTCAGAGAAAACAAGAAATCAACCATCTGAAATCTGAAATGAGTTTTCACTAGATGTCAAATGTACATTTCAGTTTGTGGTTGGGCTGTTTCTACAGTTTACAGTTACAGAGATAAAAGTAGGGAGTGTCAGACTGAGGCAGAGATTAAACTAAAGTAAAAACTCACCTCATTTGTCCCCAGACTGTATTTATTACATGTCAGTATTAAAGCTTTACGTTTGCAGCTCTGAATCTGTTTTGTCCTGACAGGCCTGGATCAGTCACAGGACAGTCAGACTCACTGTTTATCTGTAACTGAGCCTTTGACCCAGACTCTCAGTCCGAAGGTGGCACGTTTCAGTTAATGTTTTAGTTTAAATGGGCCTCATTTTACTTTGTAATCACACAGTATTAAAATGACCTGTTGCATTTTGTCTTCCTTTTGCTCAGTAGATTTCAGAGGAATGTTGATTTCTGGAGCTTTTGCGTTACACATTGACAATTTAAGTCACTTATTTATGGCAGTGCAGGTGAATGCATGTCCTCAGATCAGATGATTTAGTTCATCAGGTTCAAAAAGCCAAACATGGGCAGCACTAAGGCAGAAACTAAAGTTAAAAAAAGAGATCATTAAAGGGCCAACTTGCGTCCTTGACTGTTAAATACACAGCACCAAATGGAAGGAATGAGTTGTTTAATCTGATGTTATTGTCTGTGATGTCCACAGATCGAAGTTCATAGTGTGTATTTACTGCTATATTAAATGTAAAACTGATAAAAGATGCTGATATGTTTCCGCTGAATCATCATTTTTCTCTTCTCAGCTCTTGTTACACGACTGGAACCCTTCTTGTGGCCTTTTCCAGCGCAGGTAGGTGAATACAAACAGCTAATTTTAACGTTATTAGGTGACATGCGTACTGTACTGAAATTGGGGAGTCATGAATAGGTTCATCTTTCATCTTTACTTCCGGCTTTCCCTGTAATCCATGCACAGATGGAAAAGATCCACGATTCCTGTCACATTTTAAGCAAGATCGTGCAAACTTTGTGTTCAGTTTTGCAGAAGCATGCAATTTTGTACTCGATTAAAGGTGATTTGTTGCTATGGCAGCCATTTAAACATGCATTCTTTTACTCTCCAGTGCAGGAGGGTGCATGCAAGCAGCTAATTTAAGGGTATTAATATGCAAACACAAGTTAAGGTTACCTTGTTGCTATTGCAGCCATTTCAGCATGCATTACCCTCTTTTCAAAGTTTTTATTGTGTGTGAAAAAGTGCAATTACACCTAAAGGTAGCAGCAAACAAATGGCTAAATGAAGTTAGTTTGCTTACCAGCTAATTGGTTATACAGCTACTTACACTGGACCATCTTAGCTGCACTCACAGACAGTTGTTTCAGGACAACAAGACCAAACTTCTATCTCAGTGAATGGATAGAAGGAGCCACAGCTGCAATTTCAACTTTGACCAGAACATAAAAGCTGCATTTCTTGAATCGCAACTCAAAACTTTGCCCCAAAATAAGATATAAAAAGGCTTTTTTCCTTGCAGGTTATACTTCTACTATGCATATGCACAGTGCATCAGTGCAGCATGATTACCGGATGTTTCCATGTGTCATACAGATTACTATTCAGGATGTCTGAACGCTTGTAGTGCAAAACCTGTGAATTTAAATGTTTGTCCAGTCGCTGCTCTTTGCATCATTCTTTATCTGAGCCACATAAATAGTCAGTAGCAGGCATCCATGTTTTCCCACCTGAAGCATATCAACTTAGTGGCTGCAAAATTTGAGTTACAATCATATTAAACTCATATTTACTTCCAAATTATCTGAAATTTGTTTATCAGAAGACATGGCTGCAGTTTAAAGCTGGACTTTTACTTATAAATACAACGTTAGTTAAATCTCTCTGTATTTTGTATAATAACAGAGTTTTAAATCTGGTTTCTGTGGCAAATTTCCTGCGTTTGCACACCAACTAGTAATGATGGGTTAGCTAGAGTTGCAGAGTAACCACAGTGACGGAGACGAAACAGGCAACAGCAACCTGGAGTTTGCCGAAGCTTTTGGCAGAAAAACCAAAGAAGCGTCCAAGAAAGGTTTCTGATGCTCCAGATGACAGAAGAAGCTTAACGTTTAGAGTTAGGATTACCGTCTAAATAGGAATGACCACGCGGCAAACGTCATAAGCACGACTCAGTCATGTTTGTGTAGTTCCTCTTACTGCAAAAAGGGGGCGACAAAAGCTCCACGCTTCAAGTTTACCTGTAGAGCCGTGGATAAGAATTAGAATTAGAATAAAACTTTATTGATCCCTTTGGTACAAGACCTCAGGTAAATTGCTACACCAGAAAAAAAACAACACAACACCAACATAAATAAACACTTTCCACTGGAATGTAGCGCTAACCAAGTGTACAATCATGTCATGATTAAAGTAATGAAGGGAATCATTTCTGAACTTTGTCTTCTAGCTTCCTCTCTGCTGCTTTTCCCTGCCTTGTCCTGCATTGCCGTCGGAGGGATTCTGCTCCTTCTGACTAACATGCAGGTAAATTCTCTGCAGCATTCCTGTAGAAATGTTCAGCACACCAACATACCGTTTGTCCTAAACAGGAATACACTCGAAACACGTTATAATAACCTGCATGTTTTGCACCAATGACCTGTGACTTTGTGTGAAGGTGGGCAACCTGTTTGCGGCCCATCGCTCCACCATCATCACCCTCTACAACGGTGCCTTCGACTCCTCCTCGGCTGTGTTTCTCATCATCAAGGTAAAACTGCGTCAGTGGAGTCGCTGTAATGACAAAAATTACTGCTGAAATTTTTTGGGAAAATCCCGAACTGAAGTCTCTCATTTACAAAAGTAATCAGACCCCTTTAATTCTGTACCTCGTAGAAGCCGCTTTGGCAGCTTCAGGTCCTCTTGGATAAGCTTCTAAAGGCTTTGCACGCCTGGATTTTGGCTGTTTATCCCAATCTTCTGGGGAGATCCTATCAAGCTCCGGCAGGCAGGTATCTCCACAGATGTTCTTTTAGAGTTAAGTCGGAGCTTTGAGGCAGCGACTTAAGGACAGTCAGAGACTTGTTCTGAAGCCATTCCAGTGTTTTCTTTGCTGTATGCTTTGGTTCGTTGCCTTTTGAAAAGTTGAACCCTCACCCAAGTGTCAGGTCTCTGCTTCCTGGAGCAGATTTTCTCTGAATTAGTTTCCTTCTTTGAACTGTGACCAGTCTCTGAGGGGCAACTCCACATTATGATGCTACCACCAAGTTGCTTCACCATAGGGATGGTATTTACCAGGGGATAAACAGTGCCCATTGTTACCCTAATATTGAAAAAATTGCCTCTTCTTTAACCCTCTGAACCCCAAAACCTGCTGGCAGGTTTGAAAATCATGTTGTCTTAAAAAAAAATCACCAAACCTACACGATTGATCAGGGCCAGAAACTATAAAAACACAAATGTTTTTTGACTGTGTGATGGTCTTTGACATGTTGTTCCATTGGAAAGTAAAATCTAAGCTTGAAATCATGACATTTCATCAAATCATCTGATTTAATGTGTCTAATTTGAAATGTGTGACCTGCCAACGGACTTCAGATGGAAATTAGCTTAAAGCTAAATCTGGTGCAATACATCAAATGACAACGACTTAGAAATAAAGAGTTTGCTTAAACCAGATTCTGTAAAAAAATAAAACAATTCTGCATTTCTCAGATGAGAAGACAGCAGCACTCAGCTGTGACCAATAGTTATGTGACAACAATGCAAGGATTTTTCAGCTGAACTGCAGGCTGTGTTTATACAGAGAAGACAGGAGATGATATGGAAACTATATTAAAGTACTAAAATACTGACATTATATAGAGTGACCATGTTTTGTCTTGTACTGTTAATACCTTCTGGAAAGATTGTACTTGGACATGTTGATTTCAGTTTTTTTCATTTTTTGTAAACATAAAAGAAATTTGACTTTTCACTCTTTGACTTTTTACACTTCATGGCTTTACAACTTTATATTACTGCACAAAATATGTTTCTGTGAATATGTTTCTTCTGGACACATCTCAGGAGCAATTAAAGCAATCGTGATGAACCTGAGCCAAAGCAACGGGTCTGAATGCTTTTGTAAATAAGAGATTGACAACTTTGTTAATGTGGGTTATTCCGTGTGAATTGATGATGAAGACGATGCAGTTTTATCTGTATAAAACTTAATTTATAACACAACGAAATGCACAGAAAGCAAAGTTTGTATATTCCGACAGCATCATAATTTATTAGATGAATATACATTAAAAAAAAGTCATGCTAAAGACAATTAATAATTTCTTTCATAATAAAAATAAAAACATCAAATCCAGCTTGTGGTTTGAGATGCGTTTCACATACACAATTTAATGTTTGTGCATATTTGTCATATATATTTTATCATAAGCTGCTCTTATCTCCTTTCTTTAACTGGTTTATTCACTGTTTTTTTCATTTCCAGGTTCTGTATGAACAGGGAATCTCTCTTCGCTCCTCCTTCCTCTTCTTGTCCGCCTGCAGCGTCATTCACGTGGCGAGGACTTTCCTGCTCATGCCGAGAACCCACATCCCTTACACTCTGCCTCAGTGCTACACCTACGGGTGAGAGTATTACATGAACTTCATAGCGGCTGCTTTCCTATAGCGTGTAGTTGTGATGGTCAAAACGTGACTCTTCCTGATGTTCAGAGTGCAGTGTGGAAAAGCCAACACTTACAACGTGGAGCAGGTTGAGAAGATGGGAGCTGGAGCTTCAGGGGAGAAGCCTGAGGGAGAAAACACGACACCCGAGGACAGCACAGAAGGCAAAGACTCGGAAAAAGGTAGTTATTGTTACCATCACCTCGAGATTTAGGGTGACAGGTGGAGTGAATGTGGTGAAACATGACCGTCAGAACTAAAAATAAAATTCTCTTCTGGGAAAAAAAAAACAGAGAAAAAATGATGCCAATAGTGTTTTGCTTCCTTATTTCCATGTTTTCCACCTCAGCATGCAGACAAATGTAAAGATCTCGATAATCCGTCTAATCTGGATCACAGAGATCCGGATTTGGAAATCCCATGCTGTGATATCCAGGATCTGGTAATCCATCTTACTTTCGTGCCAGTTTTTCAAAGCAACACTGGACTGGATAAAAACTTTCACCAAACCTGGATTACTGACGTTGTAAATAAATAAAAAAATGTAGTTTACTAGCAATGAAAAGAATACCAGATAGAACAGCCAACACGGGGTTGGTTTTAGGTTTCTGACTGAAGCAACACAATCATCCTGTTCTGTTCAAAGAGTCAGACCTTTCATTTGACTCACAACAATTAAATACACGCAAACAAATACAGATTATTCACAAATACATTGTGGATATTTTTGACCATCATAAAAAGGCCAAATGTTTATTATAATTACTTTCAATGTCCAAATATTTTTTCAGTTGATCAGTGAATATTTAGTCTATGGCATGTTTACAAATCATAAAAATCAATGTCACAGAACTTCTCAGAACCCACTTTTAGCTCTTCAGTTTTTGTTTCGTTTGAGCTGAGATTTTTCAAAGAAGAGCCATAAATGTTCTCCTCTGAGAAGCTGAAACCAGGATATTCTTTGGGCTTTTTTTTGTTTTGTTTTCAGAAAATGACTGAAACAATTAGTCACTTATCAAAATAGTTGCCAATTAAGTTTTTTGTCAGTCGACTAATTGATATTTTGTGAGGCGCCTGCTCAGAGAGAATCGTGGATTTGTTGAGTTTCCATCTCTAATGTGTTTTTGTAAGGTCTTGACCGGAACAACTCGTGTTGTTAATTGGTGCTACATAAATGAAACTCAACTGAACTAATTCGTTCACTTCTTTCAGCTTGTTTACTGAGCTCTTGTCTTTCTTTAAACGTATTCAACTCTAAACACCCTGTGACTTTTCCTGTACTCAGTGAGGAGTTTCCGGAGCTGCGTCCTGTCCTGGTTCTTCCTGTGGCACCTGCTGTGGTTGTCCATCATGCAGCTGAGACACTACCTCTTCATCGGGACGCTCAACCCCAAGCTGAGCCGGCTGGCCGACAACGACCCCCACCTGGGTAACAAACACTGCCCCTCTTTATCTGACACATCAACTGCCTCGTCACCATCCCACCCTAATTCCACCTTGTCCCCCTCAGTGAGTCAGTACACCAATGCCTTCGCCATGACCCAGCTGTGCGGAGTCCTGTGTGCTCCCTGGAACGGGCTCATCATGGACAGACACAAGGGGAAACCTCTGGCTGCCGGTAAATCCCCGACTGCTGCTGTGACTGCACGTGTGCAGCGAATCGCCTCCCCTCACTCCTTTTAATTCGTTCCTCCCGCCGCAGGGGAAAGCGAGCAGGAGGCCGACCTGCGCTCCTCCTGGCTGTCGCTGCTGCTGACCTCGCTGCAGTGCCTCCTCTTCTCCATCTGCGCCTCCATTCCTGTCCTCTCGCTGCAGTACCTCACCTTCGTCCTGCAGGTCCTCAATCGCTCCTTCCTGTACGGGGGCAACGCCGCCTTCATCAGCATCGCGTGAGTCACACACGAACACAGACAGAGGAAAGGAAGTGAGCTTGCTTTACATGAGTATGTAAAATTTGATGTTGTTTTAGGCTTCGAACATCTTACGTGATTTCATTTAAAAATAAAGGAGGAGAACTATCCAATATTTCCCCCCCAAAAAACAAAGACTAGTCAGAATAAAACCAGATTTGTGTAGCTGATTTTTATCCCACAACTGCTGGGTTTGATTTCACTGCGACACTCGTCTATATTTGATCTTAGATTAGTGTAATAAAAGCTTCAGGAAAACAAAGACTGACTTACTTTATATTAAGCTTAAAAAGTGACTTCTGCTGCCCTCAACTCTGTGTTTCTGACATCTGCTGACAAAAAGGGGGAAAATATGACTCGTAATTTGCGGTTTGTTGATAATATTGTGGAGCAATGAGAAGAGAAAATGCAGTGCTGAAAAAAGCAAATGTAGTTTTTTCTTTTTTCCCCTTCTGCATGGTATTCTATTAGTATTCTAGTCTTGCATCTTTTGCTGAGTTTCCCATTAAAATATTTCTCAAACTGATCAGTTCTTCAGGGAGGCAGAAGTTTTTCCTTGTGACAGTTGTTCACCCAGCAGCAAGTCTTCATTTACCTAAAATGTACGTTTTATGTGCGAAAATGTGCCTAAAGTGGGTAGACGTACAATTGTTAGTATTAGTATTTGCAACATCAATCTAAAATTTTACCATTTTAAGCATCCATAGTTTATCATGAAAAAGTTTCAAGCAAAGCAGAAGACCCCTCACGGTTTGAGATGTTGTGTTGCATTATGGGAAGTGTAGTAACATCTGGAACGTAAACTTCCGAACCTCTTTGTTGGCTTTTTTTAATTTTAATTTTCTCACAAGACTTAAATGAGAATGAGCCTGAACTAAACAGCAAACAGTACAAAAAAAAAATACTCTAGATAAAACAGAAAACGTGACGACCTTCATTAAATGTTCAGTTCCTGCAGGGCTACTCCTGGTTAGAGACTTCATCATGAGCTGTTACAACTCTGTCTCTCTCAGTTTTCCATCCTGTCACTTTGGGAAGCTGTACGGAGTGGTGATGTCTCTCTCTGCCGTCGTCTCCCTGCTGCAGTATCTCTGCTTCGCCCTGGTCAAAGGAGCTCTGGGCGGAGACCCCTTTTACGTAAGTGCAAGATAACGTTTACGAAAGAAAAGAAGCAACGGGGTGGACATAAAATCCTTCTGAAAGACACGTTTGCTCAGCGGGCACAAGTCCTAAATCAGGGGTCTCGAACTCCGGTCCTCGAGGGCCGCAATCCTGCAAGTTTTAGATGTTTCCTTCGTCCAACACACCTGATTCAAATGATCAGCTCAGCATCAAGCTCTGCAGAAGCCTGATAACGATCCTGATCATTTGAATCAGGTGTGTTGGAAGAAGGAAACATCTAAAACTTGCAGGATTGCGGCCCTCGAGGACCGGAGTTTGAGACCCCTGTCCTAAATAATGAACTGTTGATCTGTTCCAGGTGGACGTCGCGCTCACTCTGCTCACTCTGCTGGCGTTCATTCATCCCGTCTACATCTTCGTCCACTGCAGGAAAGCAGCCAGCGGCAGGAAGAACAGCAGCCAGGACGAAGTCACCTTTGACTCCACAACAAAGTCTGTACAGTTTTGATCAATCGGACGTTTTCGTCTCCAAGTTCATAGGTTGTAAAATTATTTTCAGTCTCTTCAGCTTCTTTGTTTTTAACTAGAAAATAGAGAATGCAGTGTTTTTAAAATGTTTTTACTGAGTGAACTGATGTTATTTTTTAACATTTTTAATGTCTGTCAGAACAGACGCATGCATTTTTAATGTTTAATAAAAAAAGTTGTTGTTACATGCAATTGTTTTATGGGCTGGGTGAGATGTTATTTGAGGTTTTAGCTTTAATAAGCAGCATTTTATATATGTTTAAAGATTCAACCACAACATACAATTTAAAAATAATATACTGCATGTAATGTTTACATGTGAAAATAACACGCAAAGGGCTCAAATGTTAATATATTTTATTATTTCAAAAAGTACACGACAGGTATACTTTAGGACCCAAACTCTGCATATACGAGAAGATTCACAGTCGAGGAGAATACAGACATTGTGCTACTAAGCTTCTTCTACGGTGCTAACAGTGTACAGCAGACCGACAGCAACTAGGAGGAAACGTTTCTGAACTACTGGAACATGTTTTAATCCGCACACATTTCTTTCTGTGAGCCTTTTTTCTTGAGATAAAGTTGCTTCGCTAATTTTCTGATCCGATTTCTTCTGCAAAATGACGGAAGAGCAGCGTGAAGTCTTTGGGGGGTGATGAACACAAAATACAAGTGATAATGCAACAGCAAAGGCACATGGTAGATGTTTGACACAACACCACGATGAAGGACGTTGTTAGTCTGCACACGTGTAACCGTTTATATAGAGATTTCTTAAATATTAGCATTAAAGTAAAAAAAAAGAAAAAGAAAAGCTTTCAATCTACCGTGTGACAAACAAGGTAAGGCACTTGGTGCTACAAGGTACTTAATACACACAAGTAAAAACATTTTATGTGTAAAATAAATAAAAAATGTAGCTCTCACTCTTCTATCTTTCCATTTTTCAGTAGAAAAAAAATGCAGCTTTCTATTTTAAATTTTAATACTTTTTTCACATATATAGGGTCAAACACAGTCATTTAAGCTTTTGAAAGATGTTTCAGCCATAAGCTGTATATGAAAGGTGGACAGATGACGGCTAGAGTTTTGAATTTGGCCGTCGGCATCTTGATCTTTAAAGACCACACGAGTCTAGTGCTGCATTAAAGGAGCCCGACGTCGACAGTCTTGCAGGATTCATCCGTTATTTTTGGTGGTATCAAGAACAGACTTTCTGGAGAAACCCTTGCTCGAACTCTCCCGACCTAATAGAGACTCCTGGGTTTAACTTTTTAACATTTTGTGAGTAGTTTTATCTTCAAATCTTCTGTTCAGATGATTAACCCTCTGAACTCTGAGCAGTTTCTGGTTGTTTTCTTTGCTCCGGTCACACTTTTACTCACTGTGGGCTCATTTTTCACAGCAACATAAAGTCCTGCACATGTGTGGAAAAAGCACAACCATGACTAGAAGTAGAGAGATGTCTTCTGTGCAGGATCACGCTCACAACGCCACAAATCATTAAAAAAAAGAAAAGAAAAGAAAAAGTGTAATTGGTCGTAGTGGAATCAATCACAGCTTCATGGTTATGCCGAGATGAGCAGAACTTTTTACACAATTAGTTTAGTGCAAATATTTTAATTGAGGCAAATCTTGAAATGAGACACATAGAATAAAATAATTTTGATGAAAATGTCACACTACTAAGCTTAGATTTGGTTAACTTGTCCCACAAAACGGCACATCACAGACGAATAGTTCAGGTACTGCTATATGAGACTACTGCTACATTGCCTTTTCTGACCCGAATATTGTTTCCATCTTTATAGTTTAGAGTTCCAACACATTATAAAAGCCAACCACATACCTCTGAAAGTAGGAACTCTCTTTCTAATGTTAGACCTTCTCATGACCTCTGTGTGCTGCATCCAGCCTCAGCAGCCTCTTTGTGTGAATACAAACTGCTGTTCCTGACTCTTTAAACTTTGTGTTGAGGTTTGGTTGGAGTCTGGATAATGGATGTTGTTTGTGTGTTTATGGGACCTTTTCACTCCCACTGATCTTGTCATCGCTCCTAGCTGCTGTGTGTCCTCTCTCAGTGGCGGGAACGTGGTTGTGATGCAGAAACAGAATTGCGTCCAGACTTTCTGGCGGGATGTTCGACCTCTTCCTGTACGTGGCTCCTGCCCCGCCCTGCACAAAGTCCTGCGCAGCGTTTCCTGCCACGGCCGGGGCTGCCAGGTAGGCCCGGGCCACTGTGGCCAGCAGCGGAAACTGCACTGCCTTCGTCCTCCACCACTGCAGGGGCTCCACTCCCAGCGAAGCCCCCTTGTCGGCTCTGAAGACGGACAACTCCATGTCGATAGACTCCTCCACGGAGCTCTGTCTGCTCCTGGGAGCCGAGCAGAACAGGTCTCCCAGCAGGAACTCCATACCAGAGAGTCCGCCCTGAGATCCAGGGTCAGCTGACTCGCTCTCGTCGGCCTCTGCCAGGTCGCTGTCTTCGTCCTCGTCTTCGATCTCTCTGAAGTTGATTGGCCGAGATTCTTTGAGGCGTTTGCTCCTCCGCAAGTAGTCACTTTCCGACTCTGGAGATCCAGGTGAAGGGCTTCTTTTGCTCTGGCTGTGCTTCTTATCTTGCCTTCTCCTGTCCTCCTTCACAATCCTCACAGCCTCTTTCTTCAGCCAGTCAAAAGTGGCTGTTTGCTCCTAAAAAGTAATCAAGACAAATACATTTTCATTCAGTATCACTTAAATCACACGTTATTAAAACTGTGCAAGGAGAGTTAAAGAGGCTCAGGTTACATTAGAGGATTGTTGAAGCTCAAAATCTACACAGAAAATTGACATAAGCAAGAAAACAATAATGTCTTAATATATTTTAAAAACTGACATTTTTACCAAAACACAAATACACAGTAGGAAAAGGGAAGCATGACTACTAGAACACAGAATTTAAAGGTATGTTCAGGCATGTGTGTGGTGCTTTTGATTGGTACAGTGCATTTAAAAAGTATTCACCCCTCTTGGAAGTTTTCTTCTTTTATTGCTTTTCAACATTTAATTTGACTTTTTTGAATTTACAAAAAAAGACTTTCATGTCAAAGTGAAAACAGATTCCTACAAAGTTGTGTAAAAATATTAAGATTATAAAAAGTAAAACAAGTGATTGCGTATGTATTTACCTCCTTTAAGTCAGTATTTAGTAGATTCACTTTAGCCGCCACTACAGCATTGAGCCTGTACAGACAGGTCTCAACCAGTATCAATAACTTTACCCCTTTCTTCTTTGCAAAACTGTCCGGTTTTGCCTCATTTATTGTACCGTCTACCTTTACAAGCCTTCCAGGACCTTGTACCAAGAAGCATCCCACATTATGATGCCGCCACCACATGCCGCATAGTGTGAATAGTGAGTTTGTGATGATGTGTAGTGCAGCCGAACATGGTGTACCTTAGCATAACAACTCACCTTCTCCTCCATGAAGCCCAGCCCGTGGAACTGTGGGTCGAGGGAACACGCCACACTCAGAGCCCTGTTCACAGCAGGGTGGTCGTAACAGCTCGCCAAGTTCCGCCTCATCATCCTCTTGACTTCCTTTAAGATGGACGATGAATCTCCCGTTCGGGATACGAGATGACGCGACAGCAAACCGGTGAGAATGGGTTTTACGAGGGACAGGCGAGGGAAGGCCTCCTTTGCCAGAGTTCTACAAGCCACATCCAGAGGTTTGAGGACCAAGCAGAGCTCCTCCAACACCTTCCACTCAGAACGCAACGTCGGGACGCTTGTTGAGGAGGTGTTGGAGGTGGAGTTTGCGTGGCTGCCAGATGAACTGGACTCTGTAGCACTATCTTCTCTGAAAAAGCCCTCGGTTTTAATCCCTTTTATTATGTCACAGACAAGGTTTTTATGTTTGATTAGTGTGTTCAGTAAAGGGTATAATTTATTCCAGGTCAGCCGGCTGTGAGCCCATGACTTCAGTCCTGCCCGCTCCTGTTTCGTCAGGCCGGACAAAAGGCTCTGGCTGTGATGCTGATACAAGCCTTTGTTCTGGGGAGGTGGCAGGAACAGGGTGGAGAGAATACTCTGAAACTGGCTGAGTGTTTTAGAGATGACAGGGTGGGACATTACTTCCTCAATGCATCCCTGCACAGCGCTGAAGAAGCACGGGACAGATGGAAGCCCTTCACTGGAATGGCAATGCTCCGAGGCATGTGGTTCCTCAGGCGACACGGAGTCGTCCCGCTCGAGAAATGTTGTGGAGTTCGGATGAGGGACGCTTGCTGCCGCCTCCCCACCCTTCTCACTCTTTATCAGCCTCATCCGGTTTCTCCCCTCCCCTCCCAGTAAGACCAGATTGGGCTGGGAGACTCCCCATTCCTGCGCCATCACCTTTATCTGAGCCTCCACTGCTCGAAGGCAGTAGTCCTTGACTCCACTCTCAGTCAGTCTTTGGGTTGCCAGGGCCAGATTCTGAAACCGAAAATAACCGTCTATGTAGTGCGCCCAGAGGGTGAGGTATCGCTCAGTGTTGCCCTGCCAGTTGTGGAGCCAAACATCTACACTCAGCGTGACAAAATGAGGAACTTCCCTCCATTTGGTGGGAGGTCGACCACGTCTCCTGGACTCAAACTCGATGGGAGCAGTGTGGTCGCTTATATCCTCATTCTCGATGCTTCCGGTTTTCCTCCTCAGCAGCTGAACAAGGCTCGTCTTGCCCTTGGCGTGGTGGTCTTTCAGGAGGATCTCGAGCTGACAAGGGGAAGGCAGATCCTTGTAGGAAGGCAAGAGAGTATGGATTAGCTGTTTGAAGCCTTCCCCTTCTACCAGAGCAGGAGGCTGGAGATCCATGATGAGAAAGTTGGCGATGGCATCGGTCACTTGCGCAGATACAACCAGGGGGAGGGTGCTGACCAGACCGCTGGTAAACATCATCGGCTGAGAGCGTTGCTGACCTGGTACGAAGAAGAACACATTTCAATCAGAAAATCAGCTTCAACGGTTTTGCAATAAATTTCTGCTAAGTCTGATCAAGGGATAGATCAGTTCTATTCTATACTAGACACCATGTTGTTAGAGAAAGTTGGATTGTTTTCAGACTCATTTTGTCATTTTTGGCAGAAGGAAAATCTCTGTTTCAGCCATGATAGCTGTCTGGCTTTGTGAACTGCAGTGTTGAGTTTGTCCAGACTGAAACATCTTAACTATTGCATACACTGCTGCCGTTGAATGACATTTTTAATTTACATGCAGGGTCCCCAGAGGACGAGTCCTACGGATGTGTGCAATCCTCCAAGTTTTCCTGTAATGCCATTGGTAAGTCAAAGCATCCACTTATTCTGAGAAATATCTAAACATCTACAAAACGGACTGGCACAAAATTTGGCACACCCATTCATGGTTCCAAGATGATGAATCATACTGAATTTGGTGAAACTGCCACATTTTACTTTAGCATCACCGCTAAATGAAATGCTTCAACTGAGAGGTGCTTGAATGACTGTACAATTTTAGTCTTGTAATTTTAAATATAATTAAAATAAACAAAAAATATCACCTAAATTACCACCTGCAAATATGTTGCACTTAACAGTTCACACCTGTTAGCACACCGTTTTCTAAAAAAAATGAGGTTACAGCTGCCTAAATAATAAGAAGGCAGCTGTTAATTTAACTTTGAATAAAAAGTTTTGGTACAAATTAAATTTAGAGCTTTATTTCAATGTGAAAATCAATATTGAACAAACTATTTATCATTTTCACCGTAATTGTACAACCCTAAATGAGGGAATATTACTTTTGACATTTTAGTTTTTGCTCACTTTTAGTTTTATCTCTAAATATCTTGTGGTTAAACTCAACTACAACTTGTCTGACTGCACATTTCTTGTGCTGTCGGGCTTTGATGTAGCGATGTTGCTGCAATCATATCTCCACACTTACTCTGGTGAGTAAAAGGTTATCGTAACTGATAGAAATGATGGTGAAACCTCCGAAAATATCTTGTGATGAACTTGAACTTCCTTTAGCCTTGCAGCTTTGACACCGTTATCTATTATGCAATGCGGACAGGCAGGAGAGAAACGGTTACCTGTTATCACACTGCGATCTTTGTTACAGTCACGTGGTCTGATGCGGTGCTTGTTGATCAGATGGTTCTGGAGGTCGGCCACTCCTCCTGCGCAGCCCACATGCTCCACGCACAGCTTGCATACCGCGGTGCTGCGATCCAGAGGCCGACCGGTCGGGTCCGGCTCGAACCCGAAGAAGTACCACGGGCTGTTCTGCGTAGCGTTGGGGTTGCTCAGCAGTTTCTCAGTTCCAGGCAGAAAATCATACTTTTCTATCAGGTGAGCGCTGGGGGAGGGGAAGGAGATCAGGGAGGAGGAGGGGAAGACAGAGCCAGAAATCAGGCCCGGGTCACAGGCTGCATCCGGGTTGGACATTGTCGTCACGTCACTGATGACAGGCATGGGGCTCTGTGATTGGCTGTGGTCCGACCAAAGGGAAGTGCTGCTCGGCTCTGGGAGGGTGACCAGCTGGATGTCCTGCAGGAGGCGAAGAGCTGTCTCCTTGTCGCCAACTTCACATTTCACACTGTCACCTGAAGCCACCACCAAAAAAAAAGGCACAAGGCGGCTAACTTTAGTAGCTGTATTTTCAGTTGTGAGACAAATGAACTCCGTGGTTAAGTGAAAAAGCCATTATGGATCAGCGAGTACGTATGGATCCCCCAGTGGGACAGAACTCACCCAACCCCAGGCCAAGAAGTGTGGCATAATCCTTCCCAATCCAGACCCTGAGCTCGGCTCCCTCGGGTATATGTTGGGAAACCCTGTAGTAGATGTGACGGTAAAACTGGAAAACAACCAGGTTGTGTTCGTCCTCGCTGTTGGTGTATGTTACATACCTGAAACACACAGCAGACACACACAGAATGCAACTGTAAGCAGCATAGTAAACGCATTCCGACGTACAATTAAGTGAGAGGAGATAACAAGTGCCCACCTCATCCAGTTGGATCTGTTCTCATCAGAAGCATCCACATAGATAAAAGCAGCATCATCCCTGATCTGGAAGTAGAAACCATGTCTGTGTCACAATTTTTCAATCCCAAATTTGACACAAAATACGACTCAGAGGCTTCACTACACACAGCAGAAACACATTCAGCTTTTAACCAGAGTTCAATTTTATATGGCTGACGGATGGTTTTAAGAGTCTGTTATCTTTAAAAAGTCACCAAAATTACATTGTTTGTCAAAACCAGAAACTGTAATAACAGAAGGAATCATTGGCTTTTCAACTTTTGGAAAATTCTTGGCGTACTCATCTGCGACGTGTTGTTTCATGGAAAAACTTGACCAAGTCTAAGCCTAAAAACGTGATATGTCATCCTTTTATTCTAGATATTGCACTTAAAAATGTACAAAAAATGTTTTAAGATGCTGAAAAAAACTAAAAGTACAACCTGCAAAACACAACCCCTCAGTGACTACCGTCAAGCAAAACATTTAAAATTTAAAACCTTTTGTAAAATCTGCTTTTGCTTATTTCCAGCTGCAAGGACATCATGGTGTGCTCTTAAAACTTTCAACTATAGAGGGCAGCGAATGGCTGCTTTTCAACCTTGTGTGAAATCAGTGAGACAATAAAACTGGTGTCATTTACAGAAAAAGGCAGTGATGCAGTAACACAAGTAGATATGAGTCTGCAATGTTAGTCCCACAGAAATAACTGTTTAAAGTTAGCTGAAATAAACCACCATAGTCCTCACATAAGTAAGACTGCTTCTATTTATTGCTTATAAAATTATGTTTTTATTTGTGAAAAGGAATGTTGTTGGGTTTTTTTCTTTTTTAAGTGAGTTATCCTTTTATCACACAGTCTGGCTTTAATACCATAATTATTTTATAATACTGAGTAACCACAATTGCTGGCTGACCTCGGTTCTCTGACTTCCTAAAAACCTAATGAGAAATTAGCAGAAGTAATTCTGTCCCTCACATCTAAACACAAAACTCTTCTTTACAGTTTCTATTTGATCTGAGGCGTGATTATCTGGTTTGCACAGCTTAACTGTGATGCAATGCAATTTACTTTTTCTGCAATTTAACAGTCACCTTCCTTCATGAGGAGGGAAGAGGGGTTGATGCTCCGCCACGGTAAGTTAAAATATAAGTTCAAACACTGTCAGCACAAGCATTGTATGAAAAACGACCTGTTGATCTACTCACAGCCCAGGCATATTTGAGGTTGGCTGGCATTTGTCCCCGGCACACTTCTCCGACAAATGGTCCGAACATGACGCCCTGTTGCAGGTGACACTTGGCGAACACCTTCATCTGCCCCATCTGCTCCTTGCCAGCAGACCCAGCACCAGGTAGTCCAGAACCAACGTCCCCACAGAGGCACAGACAGGAGGGCAGGGACAGCAACGCCCGCGAGGGCCCGCCGTGGAGCCACGGCTCCCCTGGAGGCAGCGCCGCATCTGGGACATAGTTCTGGTTGGAAGCTGCCTGAAGGAAGGGAACGTCCTCAAAGAACTCTTCGTGGTTCAGATCCAAACCTAGAGAAAAATGTAAGACAGCTATAGTTTGTTACATATGGAAACAAGGTGACATATTGTTGACAATCAAAGAGGATGAAGTCAACATTTTAGGTGACAGAACAGAAAAAAACATGCTTTTTGGAGGATGTTGCTGTAATAAAATGTGACATTATTGCTCAACATTACACAAATCTGACACCATCACGTGTCTGAAAATGTCCCACTCTCCCTTTTCTTTCATATTAATCTTATCTTTAGTTGTCACATCAGCTTCACATAAATCCACAGTGTTGGTTTCTGGCTCCATCAGCTGTGAGTGTAAACGCAGCGGAGGGATACAGCTTTTGGTGCTCAGGTGCGTTATGGCAAAAGTCAATATCTGTTTTTAAAAGAAAAACGTGGTTTAAAAACTCTAAAAATGGCGGTTCCGGCTTGTTGCCAGCTGCTCCACTCTTATTTACCACATATTTACAGAAACAGCTGCAACTAATTAAACTTTAACAGGAAAACATCCCCAAATGTTACCGTCTGCTCCTTCAATAACTGTGTGGCTGACACCATGGCAACAACGGACTTCCAGCGGTTGGAGCTCTCTGCGCATGCGTACAAGAATATTAGACTTCATGTGCAATAGCAGTTTCCTGGCAAACAAAAACCAACACTTTCTGTTTTACAATGTGCAACTTATCAGTGCAAATTAATGCGAATTGGTAATAAACAATAACATATGCATGAAGGATATTATAAATTCCCATGTTTAATAATATAAACACTATTTTACTCAGAAACTTGCTGCACACTTAAACTCTCAGTGTATTTGGTGCACAATTTGAATGTGTCTAACACAATTTAAGCATGTTTTCAGCACTGTAAATACACTTAAATGTGTTTATGACATTTAAAATGTTGTTAAAACAATTCCCACTACAAATAGTGTGCACATACAGTCACAGCATCACTATCAGGGATATTTTTTCTTACATTTAACTCCTCTGCAATAGAATCAAACTTTAAAACACCTACAATAGTACCTCATTCTAGCTGCATGTTGTCGCTTTTACAGGGATGGATGCATGCGCAGTTAAAAGTCTGCTATCAGACAAGAATGTGATGCCCACTGTACATTCCAGCATTTTTGCAAAGAAATTGCAGAATTTGTGGTAAAATCACCTTGAGCCTCAAACAAAGCTCCAGAGGTCGTTGAGGAAGTGGTCTCAAAAAAATCTGCACGGTGGCGACGTCTCAGATGACTTCTTAAATTCGTGGTATTTCCACCTTTTGCCAGCACTATTTTTCGGCACAGCCTGCAAACAGCCTCGCCGGAGTTCAAGGGCTGCCCCTTTTCATCTGCTTTCAGGCCAAAATACAACCACACGATGGACTTGCTTCTCGGTTTAGTGATAAGATCCATGTTTCTGTGGTCTTATTCTGCTTTTCTGCAGCCTGTCCGCTGGCTGCAGACCTGGAATGGATAGAAAGGACACTGTGAGGCAAACTGCACCGATTATTTTTGATGCAGTGCTTTAAAAATGTGTAATTTATCACAAGTATGATGATGAAAGCCTCTATGCTGCAAAGCACGGGACTCAGATTCATATCATGACCAATGCATGATTACATGATACATTAATTTCAGTAAAACTATAGCTACTATTTCACAGTAAAAATGTGACAGTCTGCTATTTAATTTGTGCAAAAACTAGATCAGCAATAATCACTCCAAGCATTTTCAGTGGCTTTCCTTATAAACTCATAGGATGACAGTCGTTGGGTTGGTGGTCATCTTCTACCTGCTCTGTTTCTAGGATTTTTACGTCTTTCTATGCGGACCAACGACAACACTCTGCGACGGTCAGGGTTGCCAGGTCCTGTTGTCAACACACCTGCACAAACCATAGATGTAAGAAAAAGAACAAATCCACAAACATTTGCAGAAGCCTGTAAAGCCATATTTTAAAATCATGATGGTTTCAAATCAGGGAAGAAATGTTTTTTTTTTTTTTTACCTGTGAATTGCACCCAAACAGTAACACATCAGACATGTTGAAATATCACAGTAGGACATGCACAAGTGTATTAAAAAAAAAGAAGAAGCTGTATTCCACTTTGGACAGCTGATGTGCATGCTGCTTCACTATCACAATTTAATAAAAATGAGCCATTGTGCAGTGTAATAATTCCACGACTTTTCTTGCTGTGACAAGTCAAAATGTCTGCAGTGAAATAGGTTTATCGCTCTGTTAACCTCTTTTTTTTTTTTTTAGCTGTAAATTACAATTAAAAATTACAATAATAAACTAAAATAACTAAATACAAGTGCCACAAACTGACCTCAAACAAATGTGGCTCATTGTGGCAAATGTTTAATCAACTATTTGCTGCAAATGAATGCAGTTCAGAAGCTGGATATCTGAACCTCAGCATCTTCAGTGTACCGTTGGTATGATGTGGTATCTGTGGTGTATATGTAGTGTAAGATTTAGTGGACAAACAGAGGGATCAACAACAACAAAAAAAGACGTTTTCAAGTGGGAACTAACGAGAAATTGAGCATTATATATAAGCAAACTGAGGAAGTTGCAGTTATCAGAATACTGGTACATCTTTCTCCCAAATTAAATTAAATTTGTACACACACACACACACCCACACATATGAGTGATGTCTCTCCTATTACTACGTATTCGCCCACGTTTGAAGCACAGAGTTCACCTGACTTGTTTATGTCTACACACTTCGGTTCAGCTCGGTTTCTTGCTGTCAGCTCCAACATTTTAAGCTAAATTTGGTTTATTTCACGGCTAGCTGTTAGCTAGCAGTTAGCTGACAGCTAGCTAGCGCTCGTGGCCTCACCGGCTTGCCGTAGCAGCTGTTGCTATGACGACGCCACTCCATAGAAGCTACCTGAACTTTTAACGCGCGTTAGAGAAACACGGAGCTAAAAACAAACAAAGCGGTTGGATAAACATGGCTTCTTGCCCGGTTCCCAACTTCCCGGCCGTGATGGTTACTCTGGAGCATTTGGAGGAGCTCGACAAGCAGCTGAGGGAAGAGGGAGTCCCGTTCGCACCTAAAGCCAGCCTCCACCTCACGGAGATAACGGCTGCCATCACCGAGCTGGAGGCGGACAGGCGCGTCGCTCACGAACATTTAGAGGTGGAAACCATAGAAAACAGCAAGCTGAGGCACCAGATTAACAGCATGCGTGAGCGAATGACTGAGGAAATCATGGCTGACGTGACAGCAGCCCGGGCGTCCAACGCTGAGGAGATAGAGACGCTCCGCAAAGAGCTCAACGCAGCTTCTCAGCTAAAAGAAGACTCTCTGAGGAAGCAACAGGAGCTCCTGAACCAAAACAAAGCGCTGCAGCCAGAGCGGGAACAAGTAAAAGCTGAGTATGAAGCCGTCGTTGCCACTCTGAATGATCAAATCACCTTGAAGTACAGCTTGCAGATGCAGCTGGATCAGACAAAGGAGCAGACAGAGGAGATAAAGTCCTGTATCGCTGCTGTGGAGCGAGATAAAATAGCACTGGAGCAAAGCATGACACCGGAGAGGGAAGCTTACTCTGTGAACAAGCACAACCTGTCCAGAGAGGTGGACCAGGCCGAGGAGATGATTAAGCAGCAGAAGCAAGTGAACAAGAGGCGCAGAAGAGAGTTGGACCAAGTTAACGGCAAGAAACAAGAAGCTCATGACCATCTGAATGAAGTTACGATTCAGGTGGCCAAGCTGGACAACAACGTGCAAAGATTGACAACATCTATGTGCCAGTGTGAGAAACAGCTGGAGGGGGAAACCCAAAAGCATCAAGAACTGAGGCAACAGAGAGAAACCCTGAAGAAGGAGCTACGTGAGATGGGGGAAGCCTTCACGCTTGCAATTCAGCATCTTCAAGAAGAAATCACCTCAGTGGAAGGTAAAATAGAGGAGGACCGAGCAGCAAGGCTGCTCTGTCAAGACGCTTTGGCTCAGATCTGTGAGGTGTTCAAGTATCGACACAGAAAAGAAACCGAGGTGAGGGCTGAGTATCTCCACGTGTCACAGCAGCTGGAGCGGTCCAAGCTGCAGCTGGAGGAGCGCATCGCCTCTATCGTCAAACACGGCATGGAAATCAAAGACATGGAGAAGCTGATCGGTGAACTCCTGGAAAGTGACAAGATCAACAAGCGCCTGTTTGAGAGGAATCAGGAAGAGCTGTGCGAGAATATGGATACAGAGAAGAAGAACATCAGTCATTTAGAGGAGGAGAGAAAGCAGCTCAGTCGACACCTGGAGGAGGCGAAGAGGAAGCAGGAGGAGTATGTGGTGAAGATGAAGTCTGATACCAGCAACTCCAGGAGGAGATACAGGGAGCTACAACAAGAAGAGGCGGCGCTCCAGCTGAGGCAGCCCAAGAGCTCCAGTGATGGCTTGCTGATGAGCCATATTAACCAGTCTGAGGTGGAGTACAGACAAATAGAGAGCATGCACCGCCAGGAAATCCAGCAGTGTACCGCAGAGGTTGAGAGCATCACAAAGAGCAACAAGGAGAAGCAGAAGGAGGTGGAAGAGAAAGAGGAGATGCTGAAGGAGGTGGAGGCTGAGTGGAACGAGGAGCAAAGCCGTCACAAGAGACTAAAAGCGCTCACCTTCGAGCTGAAGAGGAAGAAGACTGAGCTGGAGACGTTAGTTAGGCGACTGGAGGAGAAAACGAGCTCCCTGCTTCAGCCCAAAGAGGAACTAAAGGCCGAGCTGAAAGAGCGTCGAGAGCAATACATTGACATGCTCGACACACAGGCCTCAGAGCTGAGAGCCGTGGAGGTGAGCATCTATGACAGCAGCGTGAAACTGGAGGAGGTCAACATGGAGAACAGCCGACTGCAGCTCTCTATCAGACAGATGATAGAAGAGTTGAGCAGAGCCAGGCAGGACAAACACAGATACCAGCGGAAGGCTCAGCAGTTCAAGCAGGACACAGAGGCCTTAATTGAGAGTTTACAGGAGGCCTGGAGGGAGGATTTATGGGTAACACAGGAAAGTCAGAGAAGAAATGGTGACCTGTTGGTGTCCTTGAGTTCTCTGCTGAACCACCTGGAGACCAGGAGACAGGACTTAGAACATGTCAACACACGCACGCACCAGTGCATGCTGGACTTCAGCAAACGTCTGGGAGATAAAACAACAGTACAGCACAGCTGACTTTATACATGATACACAGTCATGCATCAGGCAGCAAGACTGATTTGTGAGTTAAAATAAATTGTGTACGTGCAATATTTAAGGTTGATATAATATATCTATTTTTTAAAGTATTTTAGAATTGAATTTATTTAATTCTGTAAGTTTAAGCTCCTGGTAAGAGATGTGAGGATCCCTAAAATGACATCTGCACAGATGTTTCAGCCCTGACTGTCAGCTGACAGATCAGTAACGAAATCCATTGAATTATTATTTTTTTTCTGCTAGATGCTGCCAGCAATATCTGTTTTCAGTTTACTGTGGTTGAGAACTACATATCATTTGCACTTCATGATGTAAATCAGAATGTTTTCAGCCTCTCTGACTGATTAACATCACCATCAACCCCACAGCATGAATTCAGAATAAATATTCAAAATCAGTCAAATAAAATATAAATCTCCCCAAATTCTCAGGACGTGATGGGAAACACTCGGCTCTTACTGATCTAACAGCTGACTGGTTTAGATGTTGACTCAACAATAATATGTTTGATAGGAGCTTTTAATTCCAGCTGAATATGAGAGATTTATTTAGTCTACAGTTTGATAAATTGTGGAGAATAACTTGACTAATTTAGAGCCAAAGTTTTGAAAAAAATATGCTTGAAAAAAATCCAAGGATTCCCTGGATGAGCAAACTTGTTTGTACTTTTTTCTGTAAATATTTTCAGATTTTTTATATTGTTTTATTTTTTTAATTTTATTTGCAAGATTAGAGAGGAACACCTTCCTTGTATCAGAAAGAGACCCCCAACAGAATATGGCACTTTATGGATAGAGAAGGAACAAATATGCATATTACAAAACTTAGAACATGGTTCTGAATGAGCCGACTGATGGATTTTTGTGCTCTGTGGTATTAGAATTTACATATATTGGGTTATAGTAGTGTCACAACTGAATCAAAGACTGAGAAATCTGAAAAAATACTAAAACATGCACTATTAGTCTGAATGGTATTATGAACTTATACATGCCATTTTAGGGATTTATTTGATGAATGCTGAAAGAAAAGAATGTAACGCACATCTGGGCAAAGTGAACAAAGATCCTGTTGCAATGATTTGGAATAAACATTTATTTGACACCAGTGTTCGTAGAAAATGTGAATTAATGTTTTGTTAAGTGAAAAAGCCCTGAAGTGTTGGACAGGGGGAAGAAACTGTGAGGATGACCTAAAGGGCCTTTAGGGGCAGAAAACACAGAAGTCATTAAGGCTTTAAAAACAAAAAGTACAATTATAATATATTTACCTCATAATTAGTAAGAATGAGCCAGAACTGGGGTGATATCTAAAAAATAAAATAACATGAAATAAAATAGAAGTTCCCTGCACATATTGTATGAGTTTGTGATAAACAATCACTGAATTTCTTACATTTCTTGAATATATGGTCTTTTTTTGAACCACTTACAAGTCTGACAGCTGCATTGTAAACTAACTATAGTCTGTTAGTTCCAAGTGCAGCTAAAAACTTTGAAGACACTTTTTTTTTAATCACTGGAAATTTTGTTTTAAAATATGTCGTCATTTGTCTGGGTTTAAGAACGCAGATTTGAGAAATATTTAACTCTACAGTTGGCGGCGACAGCGCTTCAAAATGGCGGCATTTAACAGACAGGAAGCGGAGGAAGAAGAAGACGAAGAAGAAGAAGACGACGACGAGGGGCGGTGCTTCTGGTGTACCGTCACTTCCGCTTGTTTCAACACCGCGCCACCAGGCAGAGTAGCCGATAAATAAGCGCTCCTCCAACTTCTTTGTTCGTTTTCGTCTGCGGCTCAAAACGTCAACGGCACGATGTCCGACAAGATGAACATGTCCCTGGACGACATCATCAAGATGAACAAGAAAGGAGGCCGCGGCGGAGGGTCGTCCGGGCGGGCTGGAAGTTCAGGTCGAGCCGGCGGATCGTCGAGGCCGGTGCGGAGCCGACAGAGTAACTTCAACCGGGACAGAAACAACAGATCCGCGCCGTACACCCGGGTAAGACAGACGAGCAGCAGAAATGGAGAAAAAATGTGGAAATGAAAGTAACACGGCCAAGTGTTTCGTAATCAGATTACGTGATTAGCTGGTGTGGTTCAGTCGAGGCCGGCGACCCTGAGTTACCTGGAAGAAACATGTCGTCCCTCCGAACCGTCACTTCTTCTCGTGGCTGCTCTGAGTTTCCGGCATCGTTGGGATGGATTTTTTTTATTTTTTATTAATCGCCATGTTTCATCTCAGAAAAGTTGAACAAGTGTTTAGACGCGTTCCTGAGGGAGACTTGGATGGATGTTCCTTTTTTAAGATGGTGTGTTTGTGGGTTCTTAGTAATCCTAAGAGCCCCGAGGGAAGGCTCAACCACAACAAAGACATAACCAAAATAATAGTTTATTAATAGATGACAAATCCATGCAACTTGTTTTTATTTTTAAGCCACTCTATACAAAAAAAGACATATTTTCCTAATGCAGTCTTCACTTCTCGTTCTAACTGTATGTGGATCCTTGCACAAATGAGTGCAGCAGTATTTTAGTGCACGTCTTATTTTCCCACCTTCACTCTTTCTGCGTGAATTCAGGTCATGTCTTGTGCTGTTGATCTCTATGGATGTCAGCTCCTTATTTTTAGCAGCTTGGAGTAATGTGACAGCTGCATTTTGGATAAAGAAGTGTTTTCTACATTGGAGATAAATGAATCCATTGTCACTGCTCTTCACTGATTTATAAATAAGAACTGAAACTGATTATACCAATGGTAAGAAACAAGGTTGGTCTGTTACAAAATAAATAACTTGCGCATTCGAAAACCACACATTTGATCACTTGTTGCTTTAATGCTTCATACAGGTAAGTGAAAGGCTTATCTAAGTTGAATGTGCTGGTCTGTGTAGCGTTAAAAAAAACTTTCACTGTTGACTACATCAGTGAAACAATCCCATATCTCGCTTTGTGTTTCCGCCCTGTCATCAACCTGTGGACGACCTGCATAAGCACTTGAATTTGCAGACAATGTCTCGGTGCGGTGAAGACCACACCCCAATCACAGGGCTAATGGCACAACAATGACCCCAGACTCACAAGACTCGAGGTGTGAATGGTTGTTGTGAAAACTGAGGAGGGGAAGATCTCTAGGCTGCATTATAATGACCTGATGAGTGGCATCGTGGAGTCTCCTTGTGTTCAGAGATGGCTGTTCCAGTTTCTATTATCCTCAAACCATCTTTCCTCTCTGTCCAGAATGTGACCAGATTAGTGTCCTTTGTCCTTCAGGTACAGGTGGTCTGCTGACTCCTGTCCTGCAGGTTTTCTTTAGTCCAGCCCATACTTTGGTCTGTGCACTCCTCACAATACTGGACTGCATATTTTAATCAATGAATGCCTTTATCAAGATAAAGAAATGAATGCCCTCCTTCATATACAGCAAAAACGTCTACACAGAAGGATTTTGACTTTCAAACTGGCCGCCGAGTGAAAGGGTTTCAACCAGTTTCTTTTCTAAGAACAGTTTTCTCCACCAGCTCCTTCATGGCAACAGATAGTAGCATTTTTTTTGTGTCATTGCAGAAAGAATATAAGGAGTATGTCTGTGAAGACTATCAGTCATCCAGGTCGTGGTTATTCTCGTAAATTGATCGTAGCAACTGGACTTGCTTGAGTTCCTTGAAGACGTTCCACCTCTCATCCAAGAGGCTTCATCAGTTCTGACTGACGAGTTGGGAGTTCCAGTTACTGATATCATTAAGGAGCCATTAACACCTGATTCTCGGTTTCAATTTGGTTTCAATCCCCATCATTATGCGAGTCGTTAGTGCTCCCCCTGCCACAATGGGATTCGTTAGGGTCTTTTGTGGCTAAGAAGTAATTAAGTATAAGGAGTAATTGTTAAAAGGTAGAACTTTATTGATCCCAAAGGGTTTTCTTGAATACCAGGGATACATAATATGGTTGTTGTTAATCATGCAGTTTTTTTCAGGTCATATTCAGCTCGCGTTGTCACTTGCCTTTCACTATCATCGATCCATTTCCTGTGAATGTTTGGCAGAACACATGAAATCAGACGACTGTATTTTTTCCCTCCACAGCCCAGAGAGCTTCCAGACAAATGGCAGCATGACATGTTCGAGGAGCACGTTGGTGGACTCAGAGGACCGAGTGCAGTACCAGAGAGGAGTGTAGAAAGTAGCGGCAAACTGCTGGTTTCCAATCTGGACTTTGGCGTCTCTGATTCAGACATCAAGGTAATTCACTGGGAGCTCTCTGAACTGAAGCGTTTGGTTTGTTTTGGATAATTTGTAAATGAGACATGCAAGTGTTTTTTATGAAATATTTTATAGTTTACATTTGTTTGTTTTATTCAATGAAACCAAAAGTCACACATTAAGTTCAAGGACCATTGAAACATTGATTTGAAACGTTTTTTTTTTCCTGATTCCTGGTGATTTCTTAGAAAACAAGATGCCTTTCAAACTCGCTGTTTTTTTTTTTTTGGGGTGCTGATGTTTCTCCTTTGGTCTCCAGGAGCTGTTTGCAGAGTTCGGGACATTAAAGAAGGCGTCGGTACACTATGATCGCTCCGGCCGCAGTAAAGGAACCGCAGACGTCCACTTTGAAACCAAGGCAGAAGCAATGAAAGCCATGAAGCACTACAACGGTGTTCCGCTTGATGGTGAGGATTCGGTGCCTCTTGCTCCAGTGATGATGACGAAAATTCTAGTGCCTCTAAAGCAGGGGTGTCCAATCCTGGTCCTCGAGGGCCACAATCGTGCATGTTTTAAATGTTTCCCTCTTTCAGCACACCTGATTCAAATGATCAGGATCATTATCAGGCTTCTGCAGAGCTTGATGATGAGCTGATCATTTGAATCAGGTGTGTTGGAAGAAGGAAGCATCTAAAACATGCAGGACTGTGGCCCTCCAGGACCAGGATTGGACACCCCTGCTGTAAAGACGATGTAACTTAAATATTTTTCTCAATTCTTCAGGCCGCCCCATGAAGATCCAGCAAGTGACTTCAGAATTCAGTCCACAGAGTCGGCAGTCTACGCAGAGGTAAGACCTAAAAGTTCCTCGTGGCTTCATTCTTCATTCATTCTTCTTTGGGCTCATTTTTCACTGCACATTACAAATTATTTTTTAGTTTGCATCCTGCGCCTCTGTGGAAACAGCACAACCAGCAGAAGCAGAGAGAACGTAGAAATGCCTTTCGTGCAGTATGACACAGTGCGATAAATTATAGAATGAAAAATGAGGGGTGGATTTCTTTGATTATGAATCCTCCCCCCAAAACTGAGAAAGCCTGGAACATATTCAGCATTTTTCAAAGTGCCCACAGATGTTACCACCATAGATAACTTCCTACTTCTGCTTTTAAATGTGCTTTTAAGCTTGCCTCCTCTCTGCTCTGTGTGAACACTGCCTGCTGAATCTGTCATGTGACTGTTAAATCGCAAATGGCCTTTTGTTTTTTTTTTAAGTGAGTAGTTCAAGGGCCATTGGAAAGTTGAAATTCTCATTATTTTTTAGGCTAGTTTTTTAGTTTGTGGCTCTGATAAATGGTGTAATTTTGACAGTTATTTTGAAGATATTTAAAACAGCGAGTTCTTGAACCTACATTACGTTTCCTTCTGAAATAGATGGGCAGCAAACTGTGTCTTTTGCTTTCTGTGGTGTTCATGGACCAACATTAGTGCTGAGATGTGGAAAAGTCTTTCCTAATTCACTCCACACAACTCTAAAGTACCGTCTATTAATCAGTTCCAACTTGTGCTGTTTTGAAAGTGTTGTGGAAACGTTACGATGAAAGAACTTGAAGCCGACGTGCTCAGATATCGTCAGATTAACAGAAAGGAGCGCATGTCTGAAACAGGCTCAACTAGTTATACTAAATTGTTGTTAAATGCTCATGAGCTAACTTGCTTTATTGTCAGTCACATGATGTAAACACTTTCTAAAAACCTTTTCGCAGTTCAAACAGCGGCTTCGACCGGAGCAGGCTCGGTCAGCCCAAGTTTGAGAGGCGGCAGGGTGGCGGCGGCGGCGGAGGTGGTGGAGGAGGCTTCAGAGGTCGTGGGAGGGGAGGTGGAAACAGACCCCAGCTGTCTGCAGAGGAGCTGGACGCCCAGCTGGACGCTTACAACGCCAAGGTATCCACTTGGAGAAACAAAATCATTTTTATTCTTTAGCGTGGACATTTATCGATGATTTTCTAATCGTATTTCTCTTTAAGTTTCAGATGGACACCAGTTAAAGTCACTCAGAGGAGACGCTGCCTCTTTCCCGTAGTGTGTTTTTTTTTTTTTTTTTAAATCTCATTCAGATACAGCCGCTCTGACTGTATTACACTTGTGTTTTAAAGTCATTTTATTGTATGGACCATTGTTATGTTACTTCCATTTTAAATTTCTCAGTATTTTTATAGCCATGTTTCCCAGGACAGGATTGATTTTCTTTTTGTTTTAATTTATATAGACAATTGCCTTAAACCTGCAATGTGATTAATTGGTGATTGTTTTTTTTTTTTTTTTTTTTTTTAAGTAATGTAAACATGATTCAATGACAGGCTGTTTAATGTGATGCTAAAAATGTTAAATGTTGATGTACATCGGTTCTGTCACTTTGTACTGTATACTTGACATATGGACATGTTTAAAGGGTTTTGTACATAAATATATTGAATCACCTTTAGAAAGTGCCTGCTTTCTTCACTGATTCTTAAGAGTATTATATCTTATACACCTAATAATGTCCATCAGTTGAGCCAGCTGCTAACGCTGATTTAAATTTGGTTTAATGCTTAAACATACTGTGGTAGAAGTAAACACAGTGCTAACAGTTACATGGTGCCATAAACTGCAGGTCATACCACATATAGTCGCCTGCAGCAGCTTTTCATATGATCAACTTTTGTTTTTACTGCTTTTAAAAGTTCCGCAGATTTTTGAGGGGTTTTTTTTGTTTTTTTTTTAAACGGATGCCTGAAAATAACTTTCAATCACTGGCATTAAATAAATCAAATGTTCCTAGAAAATATTTATTTTTCTTGAGGTGTTCCAGAACGGTAAAACCTAGTTGACTGATTTTGAGAAAAATTCTACTTAAGTAAACGAACACATCTGCAAAATGTAGTAAATGTTAGGTATCAGTTTGGTCTGTCTCCAGAAAGGCTAAAAAAAAAAAACTACTGATTTTATCTTTATGTTCGTAATTCTTTTTTTTAAATTAAAAAAAAAAAGTTTTTTATATTATTCATCGCGTTCAATCAGCATCTTTTAAAAATCTTAATGTGGCGGATTAATGAGTACAGTGGAAATTAGAAAGTAGCGTAAAATGGAAATACTTGAGTCAAGAACCTAAAAATTGTCCTTCAGTACAGCACTTACTTGAGTAAATGTACTTAGTTACTTAAAAGAAATGTTAAGATCCTACTATGTTGAATCGTATATTAGCACCCAATATTGAAATAATTGACAAATATGATATTTGATATCCTATAATATGGAGCAAAATGTTCTTGCATCATTTAATTGTTTTCAGGAACATTTGCTCAAGTGCAGCCTGGAGGTAATTTACCTGAGTATGTTTTCGTCCTCCATTACACTGCATTTATTTATTTATTTATTTTAATGAAGATTGTACATAAAGAATTGAATAAACTTCTAAAATACGACACGTTACTAAAGATTGAATTAGTTTAGTCATTCGCAAAAAATAAAGATTTTTTTTAAATAAAGATTTTGCACAAAAAAATAGAATAAGCTTTTAAAAATACGACCCTTTGCTAAACACTGAATCAGTTTTATTATTCAAACAAAAACCTAATAAATCAAATAATGACCTGAAACATGATCCCTGTTGCCGCGTCACCTGCGTGCAGCGTGCGCGCACCTGTTACCGGAAACGTGTTGCGCGGGCGGCGCACGGGGCGGCGCCGTTCCGTTGTTCGCCATAGTTCCACCGGAGCGCGGAGCACCGAGCGCACAAACCGCGAAGGCACCTGGGATCACCGCCGCATTTAACGGACAGGTGAGTCTCCGAGCCTCCGCCGGCAGCTCTCGTGTGAAGCTGTAGCCGCGGGGCAGGGCGCCGGAACCGGCCGGTCGTCGCTCCCGCCGCCGGTTAACGGATGATAACCCGTCATGCTAACGGTAGCCGCAGGCTACGGCTAGCACGGCTGGATTGTTCCAAGCAGCAGCAGCAGCTAGCCGCCGCTCGTCGCTGCCTCAGTCCCGCCCTGTGGACGAGGGTCGGCGCCAGGAAAAGTTGAGCCGCATTGTTTAGTCTAAACCCACCGGATCGGTCGGGGCTCGGTAGTCGGTTGTGTTGCCGTTAACACCGGCGGGCTGTCCAGATGTTTGCATGCTAGCCGGTTTTCTGGAGGGATGCCAGTCTGGCTCCAGCTGCCACAGTCAGGACGTGTAGTTTGATCACCTCCTGACACTCTGGTGCTCTGACATAATCCAGCAGAAAAAAACCCACAACAATCACAGATTAGCTGCTTAGAATTAAAAACCAGTCTCACCGGTTTCCTCCATGTAGGATTAAAGTGTCAGAATAAAGCCTGAATCACACATTCATCACTGTGGGGGATATATTTAAGCTCCTTCTTTTGTTTACATCTGTCTTATATAATCCTACATAACTTCATATGTGTTCTTTGCGTCCGGCCTGCAGGCTTTGTAGGAGGCTGGAGATGTGCTGCTGCTGCTGTTGTGTAATCCACAAACAGGGCTGGGCTGGACAGAAACTCATCACAATAAGCCCTTTATTACTGCTCCATAGTCATCATTACTCTATATATAGACCAGGAGAATAAGGGTTTGAGTGGAATTCATTCACTTTTGCCAAATGAGGGCACACGGGTCAAATTTTTAATGTTAGCGCAACATAAAAAAAAAAACACACAAATAAATAGACTTGCTTATAAATATAAATAGATGAGGATAAAGAGGGTATTTCTTTTTTGAGATAGAATGAATAAAGAAAGCAAAGAGGTCAAGGTTTAGATTGGAGCAGGCGGAGACCCCACAGCGTATTAAAGTACCGGATCAATAAGCAGTATTGGTAATAATAACAATAATAATACCATTAGGACGTTGACATTAGCCTTCCCTATTTATAATGTAGAATGGGAGCAGGCCTGAGATTTGTTAATGCAATCCAACTTTGAACATGGGCGTTTGCATCTAATGCATCTCAAACTATTTTCTTATTGATATTTTATCATCCAGGCCTATTTTAAAAACCTATTTGATTTATATAAAACATGTCATGGCTGTGGCAGATTTTACTGGCAGACATTTTTTTTTAAAAGTGAAGCTTTAGTTGAAAATCTACCATGTCATAAGGCTTTAGATGTGTTGGAGCGTTACCACACAAAGCGTGAATTTGTAAAATAACGGTTCAGACGTGCTGCATAATGCACGAGGTGTGGCTATAAATCAAATATTGAGGCTGGGCTCACGGCGGGCACCATGAAACCACGCCATTGATTATTATGTTTCAGTACGCCCCAAATTAAATCAAAACTGCTGTAGTTTCATCGTTTAAAAGCCACAACTCAAATGTCCTAAGTGGCAGCCTTTGCGAATCGCATTGTTTTAAACCGCGATTTTGACATCAATTAATTGTTCAGGCCTCCTCCGGTCTCCTTTGTGCTTCCTCTGTTTATGTGAATTTGAAGTTCGTGGCCTGTGGTCTTGTTTCGGTGAGCAGTCTGAGGCTTTGGGTGTGGCGGGTCCGTCACATTGGATTCCTGAAGTTACTTAATGTAGATATTTTGCAGGAGGCGACCCTTTGAATGTGACTTTTTGTCATTTTAAGTACATTAATCCTTCCTACCTACAGAGAAGGCAAAGAGGAACCTCTGATTTTTCACCAGTGACAGAGGCCTTAATCCCTGCAGTTACATAATGCTTTCAGGCTGAAGCCCCCTCCCCCTCCTCCACCACCACCACCACCACATCCACCTCCTCTCCTGTCATTACAAACAGCCTTGATCTAAATTTTGTCTCTTGCGGATATAAAAATTTAGTTATGCAAAACAGCGGAGCGACTGTGGGATCAGAGGAATGTTGAATAGAAAGTGTTTTGTGATGTGACCTGTCAGACTGAGGCCGCTCACTCGATTCAATTCAGGGTATCTGAAGTCACACTGAGCCTCCCTTCAGTGAATCAAGATTTTATCAGAAAAGTGTATCTTTGATTGGTGTTTTGAAAAAAATAAAATAAAAAACTGCAGCTGAGGTGAAATTTTTGACATCATGCGAGCTTTGAATCAGTCTCTTGTTGTTGGATTCTGGCTGCCAAACATTTTCGTGTGCAACAGCAAGGAAGGAAAAGGTGGAAATTTTGAGCAGGTTCTTGGCCTCTGCTCGGGCACGTTTACAGCCGCAGCCCCTCGGTCGGTTCGCCTCTTTACTGCTGCTACACATTCCTGTGACGGCTGCCAGTCGGGGCAGGTCGGACTGTCGACGAGGTATGCACGCCGACTTCTAACCGTGGACAGGAACGCAGCCGGTTTACAGAAGTCTGCGTGAGGATTTGTGAATATTAGCTGAATCAACACCACTCTGCAACGTCCAAGAGTAATTTAATTTGAGATGTGCAGTTAGTCTGTTGTCATCCCGTAAACCTTTAAGTCCTTTAAGACTCGCTGTCAGTTCCACAGTTTACTGAGCGTGCTGGGAGCTGAAGCCCCTCTGTGGCCGCTGTAGTGTAAATTGATGTCGACCAGGTATTAAAACATCACCGGCTGGAGATGAAGCTAACATGAGCTCTCGGTTGTGTTCAGATCACATCGAGTAGTAGTGATCTCTAAATGAACAAAAGATCTTTAGGTAACCCTTTGCGCTCCAAGCAGTTTCTGGGTGGTTTTCTTCTTTCTTTTTTTTCCCCTCTTGTCATAGTTTTACTGACTGTGGACTCATTTTTCACTGAAATTTAAAGTTCTGTAGCTCTACGGAAACAGCACAACTAGAATCGGAGTAGAGGAACCCACAGAGGGCCTCCCAGTTGTGTAATCTTGAAATAAATCAAGACGTCTACCTAAAACATGAAAACTTGCAAAATCCCACAGCTCGACTCCAGATACTTTTTGAGTTATGAATTTCAGTGTCTTTTGTGCAGTATAATCATATATATTAAAGATAATAATAAGCCTTCAAAACCTCTGATGCATGGTGGGGTGCAGAGGGTTCAAGTTTTTTTTTCCCTCCAAGGAATGACTCAAAAATTAATAACTTATCAAAATAGTTGCATATTACAGCTTCAGCTAAGAATTATTTTGATTTCTGATGATTTAATTGAATCATTTGTCTACAGAATGTTAGAAAATAGTAAAAAAAAAAATAAAAAAATGGCCGTCTTAGTTTAGTAAAGTTTTATTTTGTTATTCCAACAGTCCAAAGCTCAGGGGATATTAAGTTTGTAATCAAGTCAAGTAGGGGTTAAGAAGCAGCCCTTATAGTTGAGAATCTGCAACCACGGCTTCACAGATCTTTTAAAAAGCAGCTAATCTGTTATCAAACCTACTTTCTAATCCATCATCGGTTAATAAACTTACTGCAAATGCCCAAAGACACTCCTTGCAGGTTTATCACTGCGAGTTCATGTTGCGCACAGAGTTGGCCTCGAGGTTTCTCAACATGTTGTTAAAATGGCTGCACTCCAGTGATTTAAGAACAAGTGTGAAGGTGGTGCAGCGGAACGTCCACGCCGCTGTAGTCGCGGCCGTGCTGCGGGTGGGATGGCCTCCATGTGAATGTCAGGACCCTTGGCGTAAACAGAGCTCTTCCTGCTTTTGTTAGCCACAGTGTTTGAGCGGAGGGAACTTTTCCAGCATCAACCTCCTCAGCAAGAGGCGACACAGTAGCTTGCCGTCAGAGTGAGCGTTCACTTGAGTTTTGTTTTGCTGATTTGAACTGAAACGGCTTCCTCAACTGGAGCTCTAATATGTCTTAACAATCTTTGCAGGTGGAAAATTTGCCCAAACACGTCGCTGAAAAGCAGAAATAATTACAGTGATTGTTGAATTTGTTAAACACTAAGCATATGTGTAGACCATCCAGCATCATGAAGGGGTTTGTTTGGCATTCAGCTCTCCATGATTTGAACAGGAATGAGGAATTTCAAACTGAATTCACCTTTTTGTGCCCAAAGTTGAGCCACTTGGCTTCTCTGAGAATTAATCAAACTGTCAACCACTAATTTTCCTGCTCAGAAATGCAAGTAAACACCTGTAATTTGACATCTTAATCAAGAAATAATAATGTGCTTTTCTGCTTTTTTCATTTTTTGGTAAAACAGTACATTTGAACATCCAGGGATCACAATAATAATAATTCTATTTTAGCATTAAAAGTATAGTTCCTGTTAAAGAGCTTCTACATACTGGTGTATTAACCATCACAGAGACATAAGAGATGATTGTGGTTATTACCAGTGCTGTTAGTTTAGGGCAGCTGTAGCATAAACCTGACGTTTGTCAAGCGCTGTACATGTGTGTGCTGCTGAAACATCCCTCGTCCGTCTCGTGTCTTTCTCAAGTCCGTCTTCTATGACCTATATAATGTGAAGGCATGTGAAGCTCCCACTTAACCCCCCAGTCGAGGCTTTATGTCATGTGACGCCTCCCCTCGTGGCGATGGTGTAATTTCAGAGAAATGTGCTCGGATGATATCACACAGCAGCGTTAGGTCATCAGACTCTGCAGGCTGGACGCTCTCCGTCAGCGCTACATTACTGTTGTGGATATCGGTCCGTCCGCTGATTTATAGCCTTTTAAGCGTCCGGTAGGAATCCAGGAAGAGATATCTTGGCAGCCTTTTTGCAAATCCTCCTCATTTCCCTTCGTCTGCAGACATGGCTGAAGATGAGGTGACTCCGGAGCAGCTAGCAGCCATCGCCGCCGAAAACGAGGAGCCAGAGCCGGTGAACTACAAGCCGCCGGCCCAGAAGTCTGTGAAAGAGATCCACGAGCTGGACAAGGACGACGAAAGCCTACGCAAATACAAGGAAGCCCTGCTCGGAGCTGGAAACCACGAGGCTGGTAAGGCTGTGTGTTTGCAGGAGAGGGGCAAGAAAGAGAAAAATTGATGCTTCTTAAGTAGACGGTCGTCCCAGTTTATCCCAAATCCATCTCGGTGTAGAAGCTGCCTCTGCTTTGTTAATGAGCCGGGAAGGATGCTACATGTTTGGCTAATAGAGAAGCATCGATCAGGCTCTGAGGCATCGACTGCATTTAAAGTGCTCCATCGTCTGGTGCAGAGAAATATCTACTTCTTGAACCAATACTGTGATTGAAATTGTGTATGAACTACTGGCCTGTGTTTGTAGTGAAGGAACTCCGTATGAAACACAATGACAGATTCATCTTGTTTTAAGTATTAACTCAACTGGCTTCGAAAAGAAGTCGACACTTAAATCAACTTTGCAAATTTTTTCTTGAAAATGAATCAAATAAGTCGAACCGCCGCCAACCAAATACAATCATGGTTGACTGTGATCATACCTACTTCAACCTGATTAGCCTTATTAGCCTCAATAAATCCAAAATAAATGTTAAAGTTCATATTTGTAGCATATTAAATCATTTTAAAATAATCTTTTTCCAACTGAAGCTGCTCCTCCTGCTGGATGCACCTGCTATTATACAACAATTGTCTGACCAGATACGTTGAAATATTTTGATGTACAAATGTTGGTGGATCATCTGAACTCGGTGAAACTAGCTGCTGTTTTTAGATGATCTGACGTGCTGGTTGTTGTTTGTAAAATTTACATTTGATTTTTTTGAACAAACTGCAGCAACACCAACGACTTCTTGCGCACGGTGTCAGTTCGTTTAAAGGTGACTCCCAGTGATGTTCATAAATCAGACCCAGCAGCTTCCATCAGGTTGGATCGGTTTAAGTTGTGAAAACGCGGGGGTGATCACGGGTAGTACGTTCCTGTCGCCCACCGAAAACAAACATCCTGGAAGGCTGTTGATGTTGAGCTTTTCTCCTCGTGAGAGTATCATCAGAAATCAATGGTAATTTGTTAGAAGGCCTGCAGACTGCAGCCTTTCAGATAATCTCATATCAATTAATGATGACATTCAGAAGTGGTTTGTCTACTGATAACTGGTTGGCCAGTGACGAGAGTCAGGACAAACTGCTGGTGACTCACATCATCAGTGTTTAATTAGACCTTTAACGCTTCGTTAAACTTTGTCTGACTCGAGATCAACAGCATCAAAACCTGCCGCCTACATTACCCACAATGCAGTTCAGTCGGTGACTCAGGTGCATTATGCTACTCGCCGCTAATGGATCCACGGTTAGAGTTGAGTTCTGGGAAGCGTTTTTTTTTCAGGCGCCTCAACAGCTGTTTGATTTTGAGTTTAATTTTTACGTCGTGATCCAAACCAGACTTGCAGCAGGAGCTGTGTTCATTCAGTCTACAGACATTCATAGTAACCTGCCATCACTGTCTATATGTATGGTTGGTTTAGCTAATTGTTATAATTTATTAACACAGAACTCAACGCTGCCTCTAGCTTTTTAACCTCCTTTCTACCTGCGCTAATGTCCAGATGTTGTAAACCAGCAAGGTGTGACAGTAGGACACGATCTAAAACTGCTGCAGCTCGGAAGTATTTTGATCAAGAAACTGAAATAAGTTCGTATGTAGACTGTGGCAGGATAAACGGACGTACAACTCTATGATGGAAGTGATGCTAGTTCTGCTAGCTCTGCTAACGTTGACACTTGCTGCTAAGCTTCCATTTAGCGGACGTGGAAATTAGACCTTTCTAGCGCCGGTCATCCATGTAGTGTCCCTCGGCGACGAGAGCAGTTTTCTTTACTGGAGCTGAGAATAAACCAAAGCATAATTAATGCAGAAGCTGTCCCAGCTACAGCAGAGATGTCCTGATTTCAGCTCCTCAGAGGCTCATCTGCTTGTTACAGGACGCACGTCACGTGTCGCAAACGTCTGCAGCCTGCTTCAGGTTTCCTACAGAATGACTTTTAAAATGGATTCATGATGCACGCCAACAAAGCGTGGCTAAAGGTGACGGTGTCGTGGTTCTTTGCATTGAACTGTGTGTTTGTTTGATCCAGCCGCAGACCCCGGCGCTCCCAACGTCCAGCTGACCCGCATGTCTCTTGTCTGTGATGCCCCGAACCCTCTGGTCCTGGACCTGACGGGTGAGTCCCCAGCAGAGCACAAACATACAATAATATAGAGACTTCAATATTTACCTCTTCTTTTTAAAATGAGCTGCAGGCGGTGTCCTCTCAGAGAGGAAACCGATGTAAAATGTACATTCCCAGAGTTGGTAACGTCTGTGGAGACACGTTGGTTCCAGGTCGTTTGATTTATGTTTTTTTAAGAAATGCACAGAAATTCAAATTTGTTTTTTTTGGTGAATACTTTGCAGCATTCTAACTGTGACAGAAGACATTTCTGAGTTCTCTCTCCTCCCCCACGGCAGATCTGCCTCCACACAGCCGCAGAACTGAGAAGGACTTAATGTGACAGTGAACAAACAGAAAACCAGTTCAGAGAGTTCATCCGTTGATTATTTTCTCGATTATTGGTCAATTGAAAAAACTGAAAAACGAAAAAAGATATTGTCACGGGGGGAGAAAATGAAAATATTCTGGCCTTCTCTTGCACGTTGAGCTAAAACATCTGAATGGATCCAATCGTTGGGAGTTGAACTGAGGCCAGCAGCACGTTCATCCCTCACTGTCTCCGTGAATCATTTCAACACATTTTCTCCCCTGTCGTTCTCTTTACATCCAGTCTCAGAGGAACTATATTCGTCCCTCTCGGCGCCACTGTTGACCCCAGATCACGCTGCTTGTTGTGATTTTTTTCTTCCGTCACTGTTTACTGTCTGCAGAGGTCTGAATCTGAGGTAATCTGAGGCACAAGGTGCATACGTACACGGGACTCTTTCTTTTCTATCTGGCTCACAGCGGTAAGAATGTCCAGACCCCTCGTCTCTGGAGCTGCCTCTGCCCCAGCTGGCCTAGATTTGAATCCGTCCAGAACATTCTGTCCTGCGTCTCCTTTTTTCCTCGCATCACTCAGGCTTTTCCTACTTTCTCAGCTAAAAATAATGACTGCCCACTCGGTAAATAAAAGGAAAAACAACTCAGTTTGAGTGATGGTGAGTGTTTAGGAATCCAGTAGTTTGAAAGTCATGCACGGCCTACAGTTGATGCTGATGTGTTTTGTTTTTTTTGAAAATTTTCATGTCCAAAAAAGTCATCTATCTCAAAGTGAAGCCTTTAAAATGAGCCCAGTAGTTAGACCCTCGTGTAGTGCGACGCCAGTTGTTTTGCTTTTCAATGAAAAGGTAATTTTTTAAAAAGGTTTTTTGGCACATTCATATCTCCACTTTTATCCGACGAATCGAGAAGATTAGAAAAGTTACACCGAGGAAAGAAAAGTGACCCCAAAAGTTTGGGATAAATCACCTGAAAATGAAGATTTTTGCTCATGTAGACTGTGGTGTTTGCTGGAAAAAGTGACCTGCAGAGGTGGAAGTTAAATCAGATAACATCAAACTTTATTAACCCTGAAGGAAATGCTTGTGCCAGATATTACTCAGAAAACTATATTACATAAACTGAAAATCAATGCAGTGCCTTGTAGGACAATAATAAGATGAAAGTACAATACATTGCTGAAAATATCTCATAAATATTGCACACGATCCAAAATATTGCATGTGAAATGGAAATATTACACATAAAAGTGAAATATTACACACTACATTGACATTTTGTACATGCAGCTGAAGTATTGCACATAAAAAAGGGGAATCTTACACGATACTCAGCTGATATTACACAAATTAGTATATTGCACAAATGCTGATATTGTTGAATTTATGAAAACAACACAAAGATCAGACACTTGTCTTAAAAGTTGTCATGCAGGAAGTAAAACTAGAGGGTTGTCACAATCAATAAAAATTAATTGACAATTAGCCGCCATGAAAATAATCAGGAATAACCATTTAATTGTCTTTTCCTGTTTATTTTATGCCTTTAATTTACATTTTTTATGCAGAGAATTTTCCTACGTATAGAAGAATTTATACAATGTTTATTTAATGTGCAGTGTTTGTTTATTTCAGAATATTTTCTCTACAATCAATGAATTATAATGAAAATAGGTCTCAATATTGCACAGGAAAGCTTCTGTGTGGCTGATTAGAATGAAGCTCAGGTTTTCAAAAGACGAGCAGGAACTTTGTAGACGTCATTTAAGAGCCTGTTTTTAGAGTCTTGGGAACTGCGGCGAGGCGACGGTCGACACGACGGTCAGCACCCAGGAGACGGATCGTTTTAGAGGCCAGCGCACTTAGTGGAGAAGAACAAGTGTAAACATCTTCTTGTCATGTCGTTTAAAAGCTCCAAGCGTCTTCTGATGGTCTCTGTGTGTCAGCGCATCGCCGTAGAAACGGTTTTATGTTCGACATGTGCTGCAGCTCAAACATTTTGGAGCAATTTTATCAAGAATCAGAAGACAAGATGGATATGTGTTAATGTTTAACTAAGGCTAGGATCTTTATCAAGAAATAGTGCTTTTTTAATTAGGGTCCGAGCACCAAAGGGTGCTTTATCAGGACCAAATACATAATGTGCT